CAGCTGTAAGGAGCTGGTGTCCTCACAGAATATTTTGTTGCAAAGAGGAGCATTACCTTGTCCTGGAGGAACCTGAGCTGAGAGGCCAAGGAAAGGTCAAATTTCCCAGGCTGCATCCTACAGAGAACTCACAGTCAGAAAATGTCATCTGCAACTTTACTATCAGGTGTATGCAGGAAAGGGGATGCTTTAGTGTGTATTCTGTTCTCTCGTGATGTGTCCCTGTTGAGACAGGATGAGAGAGCAAGGGACTGTTGTGTTCACACAGACTAAGGGGCAGGACCTGGGCAGCATGTGAATAAGTCCAAGAACAGAGCTGGGTTTCAGCAAAACTTGTATAGCAGCCTCCTGCCCAGCTGCCACACCAAGACAGTGATGTTTTGTCTAAGTGTGAATTGGCAGAGGATTATACCCCAGTTGCAAGGTGTTCCCAATCATCTTAGCATTGATTGATTTAAGGGTGATCCCATGAATCTGAACCAGACAATGACATTTCAAGGGAGGTGTGGAAGGAGGGGCTCTTGGAATGTTCTAGAAGAGATGATACATTTCTTCCTTGGAAGTCGTTGGAGCTGAGTGTGATGACTGTATGCAGTGTGCTTCCTGGGAACCAGGAGGAACCAGTATTAGGATAAAGATAACGATGAGGGGACAGGCAGAAAACAGGAAGGAAATTGCATCAGTCCACCCACACAGGCCAAATAACCAGCTTAAAGTCCTGGGGAGCTAACAGTGAGAGCACAGAGGAAGTGGTGGATGCCCTGGGACAGATGCCTGAACAAGGAGGCAAGGGCTGGGAGCTGACCTATGGAATGGGGAGAAACAGAAGGCTGGAACTTTTCAAGGAGGGGAGCTAAATGTAAGACCCCATTGTGGTAGATTCAAAATTGCCTACCTATGAGCAAAGTAGAAACATGAGCAAAATGGGAATATTTAAAAATGTAATTGGGGGCTGGCAAGATGGCTCAGTGGTTAAGACCACTGGCTCCTCTTGCAGAGGACTTGGGTTCAGTTCCCAGCACCCATAAGGCAGCTCATAACCATCTGTAATTCCAGTTCTAGGGGATATGGTACCCACCTTTTGCTTCTGTGGCACTAGGCATGCATGTGGCACATGTACATACATGCAGGCAAAACACTCAAACACACAAAATACTAACAAATGAATATTAAAATGCACATAGTTCACTTTATTGCCAGAGACATCTTACAATGTGGTTACAGGACACAGAGGAATTGGGCTGGAATTGAGCTGGAAGCTTCTCCTGGGAAGCTAGTAGAGCAGGAAAGTGCTATGTAGGCACTTTGGGGGAGCCTTACCAAGTGGTAAGGCCAGTGATCTTACCCAAACATGGACCCTAAATATTACAAAAGCAACCTTCCAGGCAAGATAGACTCACTGGTGCAATGGTGGCATTGCTGTTTTGGGGGTAAACAACCACTTTCTGCTTGAATTTGAAGCCACTCCATGGGAGGGAGTGAAAGCCTAGTAAACTTGTAACTTGTAAACTGTAAACTTGATCAAAACCACTCTGATAGTTTGCAAAGGACACACAGTCAAACTGCTTTCTAAACATTTGCGTTTATGTCCGTAGACCAGTGCTGCTCTTGGCCTTGGTCAGAGAAGAAACTCATAACTGGTCAAAGTGCTGAGAATAAGTGACTGTGGGTGTTCATCCTTAAACACGACATCTGTATCACCCCCTCCAAGGTCCAGGGAACACTGAAGAAGAAAGGTTTGTAGCAGGCTTGCTCAGATTGCCAGCCCCAGATCATGGCATGGAGACTTACTATTATTAGTTATGAATGCTTGGCCTTAATTTAGTCTTGTCCCACTAGCTCTTATAACTCATTTTAACCTGTTTCTTTTCTCTTTATCTACATTTTGCCTTGAGTTTTTGTTTGTTTGTTTTTTCCTTTCTTTCATTCTGTATGTCCTACTTTCCTGCTTCCTCTGTGCCTGGCTGGTTGGCCCTGGGCATCTCCTTTTCTTTCTCCCTCATTCTCTTCGCTCTCTAGCCTGGATTCCTCCTCCTACTTATTCTCTCTACCCACCAGCCCTGCCTATCCCTCTACTGCCTAGATAGTGGCCATTCAGTTTTTTATTAAAGCAATCAGGTGCCTTAGGCAGGCAAAGTTGAACAAATGTAACACATCTTTACATCATTAACAAAGGCAGCAGAAACAAATATAACACATCTTTACATCATTAACAAAGGCAGCAGAAACAAATATAACACACCTTTATACAGTTAAAGCAATGTTCTGCAACATAAACAAATGAAACACGTCTTTACACAGTTAAAGTAGTATTCCACAACAATGGTTGGAAAGAATGTAAGAGTTGAAGGATGGGAGAAGGACTGTGACATGCTATCCTCTGGACACGGTGTTGCTGTTGCAATTATGAACACACAGCGGCTGTGACACGAAAGTAGGGAGACTAGTTGAGAAGAGGGGGGTTAGCAAGATTGAGATGAAGATGAGAGAGGGTGGTGGGGATGGGCCTGACAACACATTGTATACATACATGGAATTGTCAAAAAGAAAAGATTTTAAAATCTCGTTGGAAAACAGGTTGGAATGTAGCTTAGTTGGTAGAGTGCCTGCCTGGGTTGGATCCCCAGCACCATATAAAACTGCATGTGAGGGTACACACCTGTAATTCCAGCAGTTTTGAGATGGAGGCAGGAAGATCCTGCATGAGTTCAAGGTCATCCTCAGCTACATAGTAATCAGCCTGGAATATGTGAGACTTTAGCATAAACAAACAAATCCATAAAAGTAAAGGGAAGATTACTTATTCACTTACCAAAAATAATGTTGATAGTTCGGTATGTGACAGTCTATTTTATATGCATGTGTATATGGTCTAATATTCTTCTTTTTTCTTTTCTTTTCTTTTTTTTCCTGGTCTTTTCAAGACAGAGTTTCTCTGTGTAGCCCTGACTGCTCCGGAACTCACTGTAGACCAGGACGGTCTTGAACTCACAGAGCCTGCCTCTGCCTCCCAGAGTGCTGGGATTAAAGGTGTGTACCACCACTGCTGGCCACTATAATATTCTTATAAAAAGTGAAATTCTCTACCTACTTCTTGGAGCCAGCTTGTTTTAAGTTATGTTTTTCCCCTGCCATAAATTATCCATTATCTCCGTATTTGACAAAAAGAGCATTACTCTCAATAGAGTGTAAGACTAGTCATAGGATGGGAGAGAGTGCTTGAAAATAGCATATTTGAAGAGACTGCATCTGGACCCAGCAATAGTGCTCTTGGATATACACGCTAGGTACTTGTCTCACTGCTGTGACAAAACACTCGAGGACGGGAGGGTCTAGTTTGGCTCACAGTTTTAAGGGCGACAGTCCATCACGTTGAGGAGGGCATGGTGGCAGCAGCAGATCTAGCTGCAGCGGCCGGATCACGAGCTGCCCAGCCACACTTCATCCTCAGGAAGGAGAGAGATGAGCCAGCTGGTGCTCAGTTCCCTTTTCCTGGTCCTCCTTTTTGTTCGGTCTGAGATCCCAGGCTACGGGATGGTGAGTACCCATGTTCAGAGTGGCTCATCCGCTCCTCAGTTAAACCTCTTGGGAAGCACCTTCATAGAGAGGGTTAGAGGAGTGTCTCGAAGGTGATTCTAAACCCAGCCAAATCGACAATCAGGATTAACCATCATGACCATATCCAAGAGAATTGAAGACAGCATCTCAACGTGATACCGACACACCCATGCTCATTGTCCACAAAGGTAGAAACAGTCAAAAGACCCATTAGTAAATGGGTGGTACATCCACACAGTGGAATATTATCCAGCATTTAACCTAAAGGAATTCTGTCATCGGCTAGAAGATGGATGATCCTTCAGGACATGATACTAACTAAAATAAAGCAATCCCAGAATAACAAACGCCTCATGATTCCACTCAAGTGCATTAGCAAAACTCATCGAGGCAGGAGGGGGGAGTGAAATGGTGGTGGCCAGGGCCTGGTGGGGTGCGGGTTTTGCCCAGCGGGCTTAGAGGCTGAGTCTTGCAAGATGAGAATGTTCCAGAGATCTGTTGCCTTTGCAATGTGCATATTAGCTCTGTGCTGTGCACTAGAAACTTCCTGAAAAGGCATGTTAGGCTTCTTTTTGTTGTTTTTCCCCAACCACAGTTAAAAGCAGAAGAACTCTCTGATAAGGGAGCATTCTCACCGCCTTCCTGGCTGGTGCTGCTGGCAGTTACTCTGACGAGCCCCCCTAGCCCTGACCTGACTTCCTCTGCAGTGGAAGACCCAGGGCGGGAGACACATGCTGCGCTCTCTCTGCTGCTCTCCCCTGGCTAACCTTTGGTTAAAACCAGCATGTCATGAGTCTGTGGAGTCTGAAGCTCTATTCAAGAGTGTGCGGCCTTCTGCTCCTGGCCCTGCAGCAAAACGCACCTGCTGGGAAATGCCACCCCGGCTCCTGTGGCTAAGTCATGGATATCTGAGTTCTCCACACTCCAGACTCCGGGCCTGCCAGGCAGGCTGCACGCCTCACTTTTCCTCAGAAGTGCATGCTCGGGGTGGGCTCAGTGTGCAGGACAGAGGATGGGCGCCTGCTGCACTCTCACTGACCTTTCTATGACAGAGTCACAGCACAGACGTTCTAGCCACACCACTGGGTCCCTTTTGCTTCTCTGTGCTTTCGTGTCAGGTTCTGTACAAGTTTTTTCATCAGGGGACACACAGCTGTCTTTCTGCAGCTTGGGCTCCATTCCAGCAGTTCTTACTCTGGGCTGACCGTGGTGGGTAGATGGGATAGGGCAGATGAGGATGTAAAGGAGGAGCGAGAGACTGGTACTGCAGGTGTGATGATACCTCAGGGGAAGGCGGGGCCTGAGCGGTAGCCCCATGGTGTGCAGAGTGGAAATCATGCCTGGCCAAGCCACTACCCACTGAGGACTTAAAGACATTTCTTCCATGGCCGTGGTCTCTGGAATGAGAGTCCAGAATGGGAAGGATCTGCTTAAACATCAGTCTAAGGATCAATGTCTTTGGCCAGAGGTTCAGAGTCCAAACTGCTACAGAGAGTGTCTCTCCAGTGTTCCTCAGGGACCTTCTGAGTTGACCCCCTCAGCCAGAGGACAACACCAGCCAAGATGAGCAAGATAGGCACCTTCACAAACACCAGGAGTATGTAGTGGGTCCTATGAGAAAGACACAGCCATCAGGGTCCCATGCCTTTGAGCCCCATTATGCCCCATCCCCCAACACTGGGAAGTCAACAGCTGGCTCATCACAGCCTGAAACTGAAGGCCCACATCCTACTTGAAAAATCCCCCAGAGACCTTCTCCAAGGCCCACCCAACCATGAGGGTCCCTCAGTGACTCCAGGTGGTCTTGGTGTGGCCTGTCCCTCGTCCTTTCTTCTAGGGTTCTTCTCCATAGTTCCATGTATCTCGGCAGAAACCTGGAGCTTTCTGTATCTGGGTTGTCTTTGCTTACTTTGCCCTCAACACTGGCTCCAGGTTGGCAAATCTCTCTCCCTGCCCTGCTCCCGAAATAAGACTGGGACCTTATGGGACCATCTCTCCCTTTGGCTGCCATGATGCCACCAGGGCTGGACAGACAGTTCTACAGAGCAGTGTTCTGGTGGGGCTGGAATGGGACCATGGTGGGTGGGAAGTATCAGGGACAAAGATGGCCTTGGGACCTTGAATCTTGACTATGACAATCACTGGCATCTGGTGATAGAGCATGCATGGGCTTGGCATTCCTGTAGGAGGAATCCATGTAGAGGAAGGAGAAAAAACCTCAGGACTCACCTCTTGTGCAAGTCAGAAGACATCATGTATGCATTGCTGTCCACAGTGGGCATAGCAGAAAGTAGCTTAGAAGAAGACATGGTATCTTTTCCCACTAGACATAAGCAAAGATGGCCATAGGTTATGGAACAGATTGGGGGTGGCTCATGCATGGCTCACAATGGCACCCCATCCAACCAGCCCTCACTGGGTGTCTTAGTTAGGGCTACTATTGCTGTGATGAAACATCATGACCAAAACAACTTGGGGAGGAAAGGATTTATTTGGTGTATACTTCCACATCCCAGTCCATCACTGAAGGAAACCAGGACAGGAACTCAAGCAGGGTAGGAACCTGGAGGCAGGAGCTGATGCAGAGAGCATGGAGGGGTACTGGTTTGATAACCATGGCTTGTTCAGCCTGTTTTCTTTCTTTCATCCTTCCTTCCTTCCTTCCTTTCTTTCTTAAATAATTTTTCTTTATTCTTTCTTTTCTTTTTTTAAAAAAATTTTATGTACACGCATGTCTGTGTGAGGATGTCTGATCCCCTGGAACTAGAGTTATAGACAGCTGTAAGCTGCCAGGTGGGTGCTGGGAATTGAACCAGGGTCCTCTGGCAGAGCAGACAGTGCTCTAAACTGCTGAGCTATCTCTCCAGCCCCTCATCCTGCTTTCTTATAGAACCCAAGACCACCAGCCCAAGGGTGGTGGGCTGAATCCTCCCCCATCAATCACTAATTAAGAAAATGCTTTACAGGCTTGCCAACAGCCCAATCTTATGGAGGCATTTTCTCAACTGAGGCTCCATCTTCTCCAGTGACTCTAGCTTGTGCCAAGTTGACATAAAACTGTCCAGCACATCAGGAGACCTTTCTTCCCCTGGATTAGGAAGCCTCATCTCTTTGATACAGTCCTTTGGCTTCTTTTAAACCATCTGATTCCCCATACAATCATTTCCTCCATCATTTTTGTTAATAGAAGATATGACAGGGAGATCTAGAAATGAAGGAGGAGAAAGACTAGTTTATTCTGGAGGAGGAGACACACCATAGTCTCTTTCCATTTGTTGTGGCAGTGGGCAAGAATCTTTGTTCCTTTCCATTCAAATAGTATCTGAGGAAGGGCTCAAGGACAGGTGATCTCAGATGATCTAGCCGCAAGTTTCTAGTGGCTGAGTGGTGAGTAGCAGAGGGACTCCTGAAGGTTGCTGAGCAAGAAGGCACATGCCAGTTCAATCATGAATGACTATGAGGAAGGAAATGTTAGAGGGAAACTATGCGGTGTCTTGCAGTGGGCAGCTGGGTCATGGCTTCCTGAGTCCAGCTGGGCATGAGGCATCCCTGGCTCACAGCTGTCCTTCGGGTTAGCTCTTGAGGTTCCGGGTTTCAATCATGCTTGGAAGCTGAGCAGAACTCTGGGGAGGTCCAGTCCCTGCAGCCCTCCAAGAGGTCACAATCAACCTATAGGCTGGTGTCCCCAACCCCCTTGGACACTTAAAGCTCAGCATGGGGCACATTCTTTGGCTACTCTGTCTTTTGCCTACATGTCTTATTCAATCCCCTTTCTGTCCCCACACATCTCAGCTTCCCCTGGGTGGTAAACCTGAGGAAATCTTTTTGGGGTGGCCCTTTCTGTACCTCACTTCCCCTAGGGGGCAACATCCACATCTCTCTCACTGGTTTCAGCCCTGCCATCCCATGGGCTAGTTCCAGTGCCAGCATTGTTTGCCCGCTGCCCTCTCAGGAGCCCGCATGGTTGCTGGGCTGAGGAAGATCTGAGCATGACTAGTTGGGTGGAAGTGGGGGTGGGGGCTGATTTTCAGGCACCAACAGAAGATCCTGGAGTCCCTCATTGAGGCTGAGGCAGGGACAAGCCAGGAGAATCAGGGATGTCTTTGATTCTGATTTAGTAGCTGAAGCTTCTGGTTCTCTAGCATCCATTAATCACTTGCAAGCCTCCTGGGTCTTCCTTACCCCATACTTATTCTTCTGCAGTCAGAAAAAGCAGAAGTGGTCACCCAGAAAGTTCAGGCCCTCCAGCGTGGCCAGAGTCACTGTGGTTTGGCTAGGCCCGGGCTTCAACCCGGGGCTCTTCCCCACGGATGCCTTAGTCCCACTGTCTCCTGTAATGACAGGTGAAGGGTACAAGTTCTGGAAAACTAGAAACCTCTCAGCCTGCTGTGCTGAGGACTTCTTAGGCATCCGAGACCGATCAAGACTCCAGTGGAAGAATGTGAGTTTCCAGGGCTGTGTGCCTCCAGGACAACAGGACAGCAGAACTGGGCCATGGGTCACAGAGGGAGATGCCCAAGCCCCAGCCCCACACCCACATCTGCCAGTCAGGACACATATCAGCTGGGTTCCTTGGAGAGACCTCAGGGGCTGGCATCGTTAAAAGTGTTGGGCTGCTGTTCTCCCTTACTTCTGTCACCGCCCTGTTCCATCTGTCTGTCTGTCTGTCTTCTTGGCTCTCAGTCCTGTCTTCCTAGTCTTTGTAGCCCCAAGCACCAGAGCCTTGTGGTACCCACAAGAAAGTGCTTACCTGAGTAAACGGTCAGTTTAACTCTGGTCCCGCGGTCAGTTCCAAATCGTTCAATACCACACCAGTAAGTGTCGGTGTCGTTTTGCTTGAGCATCTCCATGGTAACCAGGAGCGAGTTGTCCCTCCAGTTGTCCCTGATGGACAAGCGGCCGATCTTCCTTTCTTTCTCCGACCCCTTGGTTCGAATGAGGACCCTGCAAGTGTTCCAGTTTGCTCCGCGACACCACCACTTGTTGTTGCCCTGCCATCTCGAGCTATAGCGACACAGCACAGTCACCGACCCCTTCTCTGGGCCTCTCACCAATGCTGGGCCTTGGATGGAGAGACAGCCTGCAAAACAGAAGGGCAGGATACAGCCGCTGCTCCTCTAAGCAGAAGGATTAGCTGCAGGTCCTCTGCTCCAGCCGCCCCGACCCACTTGAATCCTCACATCTGTTTCCTCTGAGGTCCAGTTTGTTATTAACACCCCCCACCCCCCACCCCCACTCCCCACCCCCCCACCCCTCCACTCCCCACCCCCACCCCCCACCCCCGCATGCCCATGCCCTGGCCCCTCCAGACTCCATCTCCCCAGGCCTCCTGCATCATGGGACACTTCTTTTCCGGGTCCTCTCGCCACTGTCCTCTGCAACATGAATCTTAAAAGGTCTTATTAATAAAAACAAACCTGGGGCCAGGTATTGGGGTGAACACTGGAAGATCAGAGAGACAGAACAGGCCACAGCTAACCTCACCTCGCCAACTTCTCATCCGGAATGGATCTCAGCTGAACTGCTGCTAAAAGCCTAAAAGCTTAACCAGGCTCTAGTTCCTGGTCCTTACACCTTATATACCTTTCTGCTTCCTGCCATCACTTCCTGGGATTAAAGGCGTGTGTCACCACGCCTAGCTGTTTCCAGTGTGGCTTTGAACTCACAGAGATCCAGATGGATCTCTGCCTTTGGAATGCTAGGATGAAAGGCGTGTGTGCCACCATTTTCTGGCCTCTATATCTAGTGGCTGTTCTGTTCTCTAACCCCAGATAAGTTTATTAGCGTGCACAATATATTGGGGAACACAATACCACCACAGTCCTCTGATCGCCTCCTCTGACTGTTCCACTCTGTGACTCTTCCCTTTCCTCTCTCCGGATCTTAGAGTAGCCAGTGGCATGCTGGGAAATGTTTAACAATCCTTCTCTCTTAGTATCATCTGCCAGTCTCTGTGGTGTCCATGTCCCCACTGTGACTGACATCAGGCTATCCTTGAACACGGAGCTGAGTTGAGATGTCTCAAACCAACTCCTATGAGCCGTTGTGAGCTGGTTCTACATGTATCTGGGGAAATCCAGGGCGTGAGCTAGTTCCCTCCCAGCCATGACAAAAATGCCCGACAAGCAACCTAATGAAGGAAGCAGGGTTTTGTTTTTGTTTTTGTTTTTCTAGTTCATGATCTAAGGGCTGCATCCATCATGGCAGGAACCATATGGTGGTGGGAATATGAGGTGCCTGGTCACATTGCATCTGCCATCAGGAAGCAGAGATGAATGTTGGTGCTCAATTGGCTTTCTCATGAAAAGAAAATATTCAGTTCAGACTCCCAACCCACGGCACGGTGCTACTCATATTCAGGCTCGTCTTCTCTCCTCGTGTACATCCCTGGAAAGACCATCACAGGTATACAAAGATGTGTGTCTCCTGGGTTATTCTAATCTGACCATGAAGCATCATACCCAGGACCCTCTCTCTAGCCTTCTTGCCTCCACAGAGGGAATGCCCATGTCTGTGGTTCTAATTAATGCCTACAGTCTGATGACTACCATGTGACACTTGTAGCCCACATGCTCTCCTTGGTTTTAGACCATCATATGAACACCCCCATATCTCACCACCTCTCTCATACAGCACACTCTGTTTCCTCTCTCCAACAAGGGACAGAGGAGCCAGAGCCACAAACAGGTTGGGCAGTGTCTATGTGGAATGTGTATCCTGCTGGTACGTGGAGTGATTCCAGTGACGTTGACTGAGATACACTCTATCTGTAGAGTGACCCCTTGTTCTCAGGCACCCGGAAGCAGACACAGAGGCAGAGAGCTACAGTTCAAGCCTCTCTTGAGCATCTCAGTCCTAGACTTCGGTCTCTGTGAGTGGGGCAGGTTTGCACAATAGGCCGGTGCCACCGCTCACACCTCGGACCTTCTCCATAGAACTAACTCAGTTTGTTTTTTTTCTAATTCAGTTTTTATTTGATGTCTGCATCTATGGTTGACAGACTTCTTCACAGACTGTTGATATTTTTCTTTTTGAGACCGGGTCTCATGTGTAGCTCTGGCTAGCCTGAAACTCACTACATCAGTGGTTCTCAATCTTTCTAATGCTTCGACCCTTTAATACAGTTCCTCATGTTGTGGTGACCCCAACTGTGAAATTATTTTCGTTGCTACTTCATGACTGTAATTTTGCTACTGTTATGAATTGTAATGTAAATACCTGTGTTTTCCAATGGTCTTAGACAGCCCCTTGGAAAGGATTGTTTGATCCCCCCCAAATGGGTCATGACCCACAGGTTAAGAACCACTGCACTACATAGACTAGGCTGGCCTTGAACTCATAGACATATGCCTGCCTCTGCCTACTAAGTGCTGACTATTGACATTCTAGTACCCAACCTGATACTATGTGCCCTCACATGGAAAAAGGGAGGCCAGTGAGATGAATCCATGGGTAAAAGCACTTGTGGCACAAGTTTTGAAATCAGAGTTCAATCCCTGCAGCCCATGTAAGGGTGAAAGGAGAAAACTGACTTCACGAAGCTGTCCTCTGACCTCCACGAAAGCTCTGTGGCACACATGTACACACCAAAGAAAATAACAACACAAAAAGACCCTTCAGTGAGCATGTGTGTAGTTTTCAAAAACAAAAGAATAAAGGCATTCACAGGTGTGATTAGGGATTTTGAGGTAAGATTGTCCTGGATTATTCTAGGTGTCCTGATGAATGAGTGCCCAAATTGGCTTAGGTTTGAAGGCTTTCTGCTGCTGGCCTTGAAGAGGAGGAGAGAACCCGGGCCGACAGATGCATGGATGAAGCCTGGAAATGGATCGCTCTCCAGAGCTCCAGAAGGAACTCAACCTTGACTTTGGTCAGTGAGACCATTTTGGACTCTTGATCTTGGAACAGTAAGATGAGGTTGTGTTGTTCTGGGCCACTAAATTTGTGGTCACCTGTTATAGACGCCACAGGAGATGCATAAAGGATTCAGCTGGACCACCTTGTAAGCACTGAGCTCAGTCCACTCAGGAGCCTCGTTGGAGAAAGTGCATCTACAACCATCTCTCCTCTCCTTCCCTCCAAGAGTGGTCAGTCACCAGTTCAGCCAGCTGCACCCTGGAAATGCCAATTGGAACCACCTTCTTTGTATCTCTGCCTCCACAGCCCATGGGACATCATGACAGAGCAGAGAAAGTGTGAGCTTTGGCAGCAGATGGACATATCTATCATGGTGTTGAGAAATCCTGGGTAAGTTACTCAACCTCTCTGAGCCCCACTTCCCTCTTTGCACAGATGCCACGCTACTTTCAGCCATGTACTGGCTGTTATAAACCTCATGTAACCGTCTAATGCTGGACACTGCACTGTTTGGTCAGAGATGGCCCTTGCCTGGAACCTTGTCGGGTAGCAGTAGCATTCAGAAAGGTCCAGTGCATCCTTCTTCCAATTCAGACTGCTGCTGGCAGACTATGCCTGTCTCCTCCTCAGCTGCACCCAGCATGTCAGCTGCTCCCCTGCCCCAGAGTGATGTAAAAAGCTTCATTTCTGGCATGGACGGCTTATTGCACACTGGATTTAGTTTCTCGTTAGTGTCATTCCCAGCTCCCCTTGCAGCCTCCTGAGCTTTTCTCTTTCCCTAACCCCAATACATCCTCTTAAGGCTGCAGACTTAGTCCTGCCTGGAGAGTCCTTGTCCTGCTCACCCTCCACACCTCCTCCAGGCTGGCCTCCTTCCCAATGCCTTATCCTTTTCTTGGAGCTGCCTCTTCCTGTTGGCCCCCTGGCCTTTTGTCTGGAGCCCGACTACTTCATTTCAGGTACCCATCTCTTTTCCTAACTTCCTCGATAAGTTTCTCACTGCCAAAGCACAGAGGTGCTGCGCTCACTTTTTCCCTCCTCAACCCCAGGGTCTTGCTCAGTTTCTAGTTCATGGTGGGTACCACTCGAGTTGTTAGTTATTTTTGTGAATAATCTGTGCATTGTGGTCGTACACACAATCATTCTAGTTCTAGGATCAACATAGACAGTGGCATGTAGGGCATTAGCCTCAGTACTGATGTAACAGTAAACACCCGGAAAACTCAAAGGAGTTTAACATTAACAGGGAATTAGATTGGGAAGTTTGGATATAGTAATAGCATAGTTAAAAAGTAAAGAGCAATGTCCAAACAATGACAGGAAAGATGTCTAAAGCACATTATGATTAGATTAATTTTTGAAGTTACCTAACAGGGTAGGCATAGTGGCATAGGCCTTTAACTCCAGCATTTGGGAGGCAGAGGCAGGAGGATCTCTGTGAGTTTGAAGCCAGCCTGGTCTACATAATGAGTTCCAGGCCAGTCAGGGTTACACAATGAGACCCTGTATCAAAAAATGGGGTGGGTAGGTGGGTATCTGGAGAAATGGTTCAGTGGTTAAGAGCACTGGCTTCTCTTCCAGAGATCAGGGTTCCATTCTGAGCTCCAACATGGTAATTTGCAATCATCCGTAACTCCAGTTCCAGGGGATCCAGTAACTTCTTTCTAGTTTCTGCAAGCACCAGGCACACACATGATGCACTTACATACATTCAGGCAGAACACCTATACACACAATACAATAAAAATAAAAATCCCTTCTGTGAATAGTCTTAGTGTATGGCATCTTAAGAGTGTGAATGTGAGTGAGTGGATGATCGTTGAGGTATGGACAGAGTGTGACTGTATATAGATGTGTGCCTTTGAGTGTACTAGTCAATATTGATGTGTGTGTGAGCAAATGTACAAGCCATGCACAGCTCACTCCTGTCCTCGGCCTCTAGGAGACTCTAATGTTGAGATTTAGCGAGCAGGCGGCTGGGGGCCTAGAGCTCAGATGTAAGCTAGGTCATGCAGGCATCCACACAGATCATCACTTTACCATGTGCATTTCCAAACTCACATTTAGCCAGTGTCCCCTCAGTACCCTGCCCACTGAGCGCTCCCTCTACATGAGTGTGCCGTCCTCTCTAAGCCTGGAGCCCTTTTCCCAAGCCATGCTTTCTCCATGGAGTGCCTGCTCTGCTTGTTGCAAGGCTGTGAAGATCTGCCTCCTTCCGGGGCATGGAAGGAACAGGTCCAGGAGGACTTTCCATAGCTCCTTCAGTGGTAGCATCTCCCTCCCCTTAGCTCCCTCCTCTTCTGCTGTGTTTCTTCCTGCTGTTAATTCCTATTCTAAAGTATGTCTCACCCATCAGAGCATCTGGGATTTCTTTAACGGCCATCTCCATTTCCCTTTCCCTTCATGACCCAGGTCCCAATGCACACTTAGCATGATGTAGAACCTAGGGTCTTTTTGCTGAATGAAGCCGCAGAGCTTCCTTTCCCTGAAGGTGGCAGCTCTCCTCAAACCCAGGACAGAGCCCTCCGCCTCCTGCTCTGCACCTGCAGTCCCAAGCCTCCAGACCCTAGCTGAACATACCTGGGAAACTGAGAAGCAGCAGAGCTGAGGACAGCCACATGGTCCTGCCTCCTCACTCCACACCCTTGACCCACAGCCAGCAGCAAATCCAAATCCCAGCTGGATACCAAAGCACTGGAGAGTCCAGCTGACCTCTTCTGCTTGTCCAGGTTGCCTGTGAGTGTCTTACTCATCGGCTTCCTTTTATCGAGTGGGTATTTCCTGCTGTCAATTACTCAGCACAAGAGGCATCGGTTCTTGGCAGGGCTGGGTCACTCAGCAGAAACAAGGAGGCTAGGGAAAGCCCAGGCAAGCAGAGGCAAAGGAGGCAAGCCTGTAGAGCAGTTGTGGGGATGGCCAGACTGTCTGGCCTTGGGTTAAGGAGCAGAGCACTCTGGGTATTAGGCCCAGAAATGATCTATGCTCTAATGATGGGCCCTAGCGGCTGCGTTCCCAGCGCACCTGTTAGTAGGGTGTGCTCAGCACACCTGGCATTGAATGTTTAACCCCCAGTTGACGGTGCTGTTTGCACAGGTTTAGGAGGTGTAGTCTTGCTAGAGGAAGTATGTCACTTTGAGGCTTCAAGGCCTCATGCTACTCCCAATACACTCTCTGTGTCCTACATGTGGTTCAAGATATGGGCTCTCAGCTGTTTGTGTCCACTGCCTGCTGTCACGATTCCCTCCCACGATGGACTCTGATCCCTCTGGCTAAGCCTGAATAAACCCTCCCTTCTATAATTTGCCTTGGTCTGGTGTTTTATCACAGCCATAGAACACTAACTAATACACCACAAAAAGACAAAAAGAGTTGGACAGAAATCAAATTTTGTTATGATTGAAATATCTACATATAAAAATGAAAAGAAATTTCTAAGATTTTTAGAAAAGTTGTCATAATATGCAAGTACCTAGATAAACAAGTAAGCAAATGAAGCTCTATATACCTGCAGTGAATATCTTCAAATCAATTATAAACTACCATTTAGGGTTGGAGAGACAGCTCACTGGGAAATAATTACTGGGAATGCATGAGGCCTGAGCTTGGACCCCCAGCATGGCAGTGCACAACTGTAGTCCCACACAATGAGGAGGGTGGGGCATGGAGACAAGTGGGCCACCGGAGCTTTCTGGCCAGGCAGCTAAGCTGAAAAACTGAAGTAGAGAGAGAGTAAGACTATTGAAATCCTCCTCTGGCTTCCACACGTGTGGGATGGTTGTGCAGCTGCACACACATGTGTGCACATACCACACACAATACATCCCATCACACAGCCACACACATTCACAAAATACCACTTAATAATAATCTTTCCTTTTTTGTGGAATTGGGGATCAAACTCAGGGTTTTACACATGGTAGACAAGCATGCTACTATGGAGGTACATCTCCAGTCTAAAGACACATTTAAAATAAAAAGAAGGGGCTGGAGAGATGATTCAGTGGTTAAGAGCACTTACTGTTCTTCCAGAGCACCCAAGTTTATTCCTAGCACCCACATCAGGTGGCACACAACCGCCTGTAACTCCAGGGATATCTGATGCTATGGCGTCACACAGACACAAAATTAAAAACATTAAAAATGTGATAAATAAATATAAGGAGCTAGAGAGGTGGCTTACTGGTAAGAGCTACTTCTGACCTTCATGGACAGCTGCACTCACATGCACATACCCACACACAGTCATCTACACATATGGATAATTAAAAATAAAACATAGGGACTGGAGAGACAGTTCCCATTGCCCTCTTCTGGTATCCATGGGCGCTTCATTTACATGTGCATAAGTGTGTGTGTGTGTGTGCCACACACACAAATAATTAAAATAAAACTTTTTTAAAAATCTTGGAATAAAAACGTAAGCTATTCGAAATCAAATTTAACAGACATATGAACAGGTTTCAAAGAAGGAATAGTTTATTAAAGAACATTTTATTATTTATTTTAAATTTTATTTCTTGTATATGTGTGTGTTTGATGTGCTTGTGTGAGTGTGTAACTCAGCTTGCACGTAGAAGTCAGAGGACAACTTCTTGGAGTTGGTTCTCTCTTGCCACCATAAGTTCTGGGCATTGAACTCAAGTGACCAGGCTTTCACAGTAAAGCTGATCCATCTCATCAACTCTTAAAAAGGTATTTTTTTTTCCAGATATTTATTTATTTATTAAGAGATTTTCTATTCATTTTACATACCAACCACAGATTTCCCTGTCTTCCCTCCTCCTGCCCCCCAGCCTTCCCCCACAACCCCACCCCCATTCCCACCTCCTCCAAGGCAAGGTCTCCCCTGGGGAGTCAGCAGAGCCTGGTACAGAGCTGAAGCAGGTCCAAGCCCCTCCTCCCTGCACCAAGGCTGCACAAAGTGTCTCACCATAGGCACTAGGTTCCAAAAAGCCTGCTCATGTACTAGGGACAGGTCCTGATCCCACTGCCTGGGGGCCCCCTATACAGTTCAAGTTAAACAACTGTCTCATTTATCCAGAGGGCCTAGTCCAGTGCCATGGGGGCTCCTCAGCTATTGGTTCACAGTTCATGTGTTTCTACTAGTTTGGATAGTTTTTTTGTTTTGTTATGTTTTTCCAGTCATGGTCTTGATATCCCTCGCTCATAGAATCCCTCCTCTCTCTCATCGATTGGACTCCTGGAGGTATTTTCAAAGTTCCCAAATAATTGAGGTTTTGGTCCATGTCCATGGCTAGGAAAGTTATCCAAAGGTCATTTGATGCACTGTGCTGGCTAGATTTTATGTCAACTTGACCCAAGCTAGAGTCAGCTGAGAGGAAGAAACCTCAACTGAGAAATGTCAGGCATGATGGTGCACACCTTTATTGCCAGCACTAGGGAGGCAGAGGCAGGTGGATCTCTGTGAGTTCCAGGACAGCCACTAGGACTACAGAGAGAACATGTGAAAAAAAAGCCTCTATAAGAACAAAAAGTGAAAAGCATTTTCTTAATTAGTGATTGATGGGGGAGGGGCCAGCCCATTGTGGATGATACTATCCCTGGACCGATGGTCCTTGATTCTGTAAGAAAGGAGGCTGAGCAAGCCAGTAAGCAGCACTCCTCCAAGGCCTGTTCATTTATTCCTGCCTCCAGATCCTGCCCTGCTTGAGTTCCCATTTTGACTGCTTTTGATGCTGAACTGTGGTATAGAAGAGTAAGCCAAATAACCCTTTCCTCCCCAAGTTGCTTTTGGTCATGGTGTTTCATCTCAGCAATAGAAAGCCTAACTGAGATATGTACTCACACTCAAAGTTCCAACATGGACTTCTCAGAAACTTTCCTTTCTTTTTTTAAAGTTTTGTTTCATTTTACATGTATAAGTGTTTTGTCTGCCTGTATATATGTACCATGTAAGTGCAGTGCCCATAGAGGCCAGAAGGAAGTGTTGGATCCCTTGAGCTGGGTTCTGAGACAACCAGTGTACATGCTAAGAACTGAACTTAGTTCCTCTGCAAGAGCAGCCACTGCTCTTAACCATTGAACCATCTCTCTAGCTCAGATGGAGTTTTCTTTTTAGGAATTTGATTGGCTAGTCCAAAGGTGTGCATAGAAGACCTGACCATTGCTTACAGAGACTTCCTGACATCCACAAGAGTGGCAAGTCACCAAGACTTGAGACTAAAGCTCTAGCAATGAAACCACAGTAGACCTGTTCAGAGCTGAGAAATTAGACAAACTAAACAAGTCAGAGAAGCCAGGAAAAATCCAAACATATTCAGAATCAGTGTCTTCCTCAAAGTGGCCGGCCTTGCAGGGCACTGGGAAGATGTGAGCAGTGTTAAATTAATTGAGAGAAAGAAAAATTGATTATTAGTTCAGCCTTGATGGAAAAATCAATAAAAAGCAGACATGGTGGTTCACACCTTCAATCTCAGCACTTAGGAGGCAAAAGCAGGTGGGTCTCTGTGAGTTCTGGGCTAGCCTGGTCTATATAGAGAGTTCCAGGCCATCCAGAGTTACATAGTGAGGTGTTGTCTAAAAAAAAAAAAAAAAAAACAGTTAAGAAAAAATTGGTCAAGGACTTACTTACTCATGAAAGAAAAAAATTTAAAAACTTTCTATTAGGATCATGATAAGTATTTTTTGAATCCCTGGTAATGGGTTTCTCCACCAATGCAGTAAACCAAATCAAGCTGAATTAAAAGTCCAGGGTTAATGAGCAAAGCATTCCCAGGTGATCTCAGGGGAAGGCGAAATCATGTGGCAGATCTATGGACTGGAGCTTAAATACCCTTCAGGTGCAGTCTTGAAGAGCTCCCAGGGAGAAGCCACTGATTGGCAGGCTTTCTGAGGGGCAGGGTTTGGAGAGCAAGGAGGAGGCTGAGGCAAAGCTTCCCAGCTAAACATCTCAACATTCTTGGATATATGGGTCTCTCTACTTCCCGCTGGCATGGGATGATGTGGGGAAGAGAATTTGGGAGTCAGTGGGCTCATGCTCAGTGGGAGATGTGGGTGGGGAGGCATTTGGTTAACTGCCATCCTGGAGACCTCAGGGATCTGTTCCTTGAGGAAGTGGAGGAGGCAAGTTGCTAGGGAAAGAACAGATTATTAACACTGGTCCTATGAATGGGAAGAAGTGAAGACTGCCAGAAAGAATGGAATGGAGATATGCCCATTTATCCTGGATAGGTCCCTGCTTGAGTCTGGAGAGGTGGTACCAGCACTGATGTTCCAGGAGCTTGGGGGGATGGCACACCAAATTGAGGGATGATGTGTTCCATCATATCTGCTGTTTTCCTGGATGTAGGGAGTGCCTCTATCCATCCTGTAAAGGTGTCAGTAAGAGTTAAGAGGTAACAGAGTTTTTTTTTTTTTTTTTTTGGTTTTTCGAGACAGGGTTTCTCTGTGTAGCTTTGCGCCTCTCCTGGAACTCACTCGGTAGCCCAGGCTGGCCTCGAACTCACAGAGATCCGCCTGGCTCTGCCTCCCGAGTGCTGGGATTAAAGGCGTGCGCCACCACCGCCTGGCGAGATAACAGAGTTTTTTATGAGTGAGCATGTGGGTGAAGTCAACCTGCCAGTACTTGCCCAGTTTGTGTCCTCAGAACTGGTGCTAGGGCTGGTGTATTTGGAGGGCCCCCTGCAGGTTGGCCTTGGCACAAGTCTGGCAGGAGGAGTGGACCTGTCTGGAGACTGATCCACCAGGCCAGACTCCTTGATACAGTAGCAGAAAACTTTCCCAGGAACATGCAGGTGTCTGTAAGACAGCTGGAACAGATTTACATCTTGGTGTCATAGCAAAAGGCTATGGCTTTGGATTAAAAGGCATGAACGTTTTGTTCCTAGGGCCTGGTTTTAGCTCGATGAAACATACCTTTAAGCCTGTACTTAGAAGACAACCAGAGAAAATTCACTGAACAAAAGAGTTTGGGTGAGCGAAGGAGAGGAGGGAGGGAGGCTGAGGAGGGAGGGAGGAGGAACAGAGTTGAACAGGTCTGCAGGTTTCCATACCCTCTTTAATGCTAACCTTTTCCAGAGTGAGAGGAGTTGGCATTTCAGCAGAGTTTTGCCATATGTGGCTGGAGACAGTACAGTAATGCTGAAAAAGCCTTTATGCAGTGCTAAAAGCTGGGGCCAGTAAAATCCACAGAAATTTAAGAACTTCTGAAAACTTTGTAGTCAGTGCTCTATCAGTTTATCAAAACTGCATTAATCAATGCTGAAACTTGGAACCTCCGAAGTTATATCTGAAACCTGTTTATCTTGTACTATCAAGCCTGTGAACAAGGCAACCCTGTCTGTATTTTTAACAGGAAACTTAACTAAAGAACTAATGAGCTACCAAGGTGGTTGCAGCCTTGGGGTCGGGGGAAGAGCTGTTAAACTGGTAAATCTGTCGGTATCCTAGTCACCAAACACCCTCTGAGAAGGATAAGTATCACCTGAGTAAGCAAAAGTGAGACAGCTTTCCAGCTACCTAGGCTGTCCCAGGTTTCTCCGCAGTCATTGGGGACAGAGGTGCCAAGGCAGGACCAGTCTTCAGCGGCCAAGCCCAGAAGATCTGACAGACTTTCCTGTTGGGGAGGAATTTGGGGAGAGTGGCCTACCTTGTCTTGGCAAAGTGGGGCAATCAACTCCCCAGAGTCCTGCTTGTCCACAGTCTGGACAGGGTCTTGGCAGCAGTTAAGGTGCAAAGCAGTTTTCTGCTCCGTGGCTGGTTTTGCTACATTTAAAGCAGGTGGAAATTCTTCTGTGGCCAACCATCTTCCTTGGAGGAGATACAGGATGCTACCAGGAGCTGACATATCTCTATCCTGAGAAGCTTTTTTCATTAAAATGGCATATTCTCAGATCTGTGCAGCATTTGAGGATCAGGGAATCATTATCTGTTAGGTTTATCTAAACCAGAAAAATGATGTTTAGGCTTAACTTTGAGAACATATATATAAGCTAAATCTGAACATATCAAGGAAATTGACCCTTTATGAGGTAACTGACAGTTAACTTGTAGGTCTTAGTGAAACATTATAGGACATAACAGTTTTCTGTATGACTTAGTTTACCAAATTATCTACAGCTTACCCATGTTAGTAAAACCAAGAAGGTCAGGCATATATTTTTAAATTGGTCTTTGTTAGCCTGAATAGACCTTAGATAAGGGGAGATCTGTTGTTCAGCTCATTGTCTTGCTGCATCATAAAACAGAAATATCTCAGTCTCTGGTTTTCGGCTGTGGTCCTAAGACATAGAGCATAATCATAATCTGTGGAAGGCAAAATCAAGTTTTAACATTGTAGACAATTTAGTGTTTCTAAAGTCAATATCAAGAGGTTTACTCTTAGGTTACAAAATCTGGCTGCCAGTGACAAACATCCCTGTTCATGAATGCATGGAGATACAGCTTTAATACCCCAGTAAACCAGCGTTGTTTTAAATTCTATCTTTCATAAAAATTATTTTTATGACAGGACAGGAATTATCATATAGAAATCTAAAATATATTGGAGACCTAATGTCTCCTTGGTGGGGTCACTCCATGTGGTCACCTTTGTTTAAGATGGCAGTGAAGTCATATGACCTCCTTCTTTTTCAGCCTTAGTCAGATGGTGGCTGCCCACGTGGCTGGCTGTACTTAATTACGGTAGTGGCAGACCATGCTTTGGAGTTACTAGTTCTAAGTTAATTTTTTGTTACAGATTTTAAACCATACCCAATTTCTTAGCTGTTTTTTTAAATAAGGTAGGACAGTATAAAACAACTTTCTCCATAATTACATCAGCTTCAGGGCCAGAAAAGCCCAGAGGCTGACACACAGAACAGGTACACTCAGACATCCAAGACCAATCAGAAACAAGCACGTAGTGGCCACATATTTACACACCCAACTGAGTCTGAGGCAAAGCCACAGGTACAGATCCATACACACATACGCAAGATAGACAGGACTTCTTAACAGAAAGACAGACAAACTTTCCATGGGAAACCGTGTCAGGTGACCAACTTAAAAACCCTGAAATAAGAGTTACAGTATAAGAGTCCATAGGAATAAAAGACTTTCTGGAGTGAGGAAGTTGAGAGTGAAAATGAGGTTATCTGAAGGTCGTAAGAGCCAGAGAATACAGCTGGCTGCAGCTAAAACTGTGGGTCTCCCAAGCTGCTGGGGGAGGGGAGCCAACGGCCATGTGCTGGGCATGAAGCAGCCGGTGTCTCTGGCTTTCGCTTACACATTGTAACAAACAGAAGAAGGAGACATTTATGCAGTTCAGGGTGGGAGAGCAGGTAGGAGCACAGAGAACAGATCTATTGCGGGAGGAATCCCAGTGTGGCCAGAACAAACGTAAGGGAAGTCCGATGGGCAAAGCCAAAGTCTGCACCCTTCGGTGGGTGCTGCCCGAGTGTGCCACTAAGAGGAAACAGCAGGAATAGCAGAGTTAGTACGTTAGGGAAACTGAGAGAGTGATTGAGCGAAAGGTCATCTTGCAGCAAAAGCATGAGAAGCCAGCAGGCAGACAAGCAGGGAACAGGGGAAGGGGGCAGAGACCAGACAAACAGGGAAAGGGCGAGAATGCAAAGCACGTAATCCTGGATGAGGGGAGTTCAAACCAATATATGGTGTGAGACATCCTCAATTTGGATAAATTTCATAGGAAACACCCTAAGGGTGTCTGGGGATCGAACTTGGACACACAAGTACTCATTCATAAGCTTTTATCTAGAGACCGGAGGCTACAGAAATGAGTTGGGTTCTATAAATTTACAGCTGGGAGTGGTGTGTGACATTGCCTCTGTGCAGAGCATCTCCCGCACAAGGGAAACCCAGGTCCCTGCTCCAGAAGTGAGCTGGAGTTACCTGGCACTGTAGATACCTGGCAGGTAATCCAGAAGTCTTTGACCCAGAATCAAAGACTCAGAAGAGATCTTGGATCCCTTATAGACTTTTGGTTTGGAAATGGGTGACTTAGCGAGCCAAAGTTGGTCCGGTGCGGTGGAGGTCGGAGCAGGTAAGAGGCAGTGGATTCCCACGGCCATGTGGTTGCAGGAAAGACTCAACTCTACAGTGTCTCAGCACCAGATGATAAGTATTTTGAATTCCTGGTATTCTCCACTGATACAGTAAACCAAATCAAGCCGAATTAATAAGGCCAGGTTTAATCTGAGCAAAGCATTCCCTTGTGATCTCGGGGAACAGGAATGATCACATGGCAGCTCTATGGACCAGAGCTTAAAAACTCTGTAGGCTTGGACTTGAGTAGTTCCAGGGAAGGAGCTAAGCTTGGGAGGCTTTCTGAGGGTCAGGGTTTGGAGAGGGAGGAAGGAACTGAGGCAGAGCTTCCAACGGAACACATACTCTTTTTGCTTGTTTGTTTTTATTCTTAAATAGAATCTTTATATATATAATGTCTGTGTGTGGATGTCCATACCTGTGGTTCTAATTCTATGAAAAAAAAAGAAAGAAAAAAAAAAGAAAAATGGAAGGAAAAGAATAGACCATCAAGGGGAGGAGGGAACACATGCCTGAGGGAGTGGGAGGGTGGGGTTGGAGGAGGACATGATAGAGTGATGTTGTACATGTGTGAAATTATCAAAGCCTAAGTAAAGATATTCTATTAAATGTATGTATATGCATTTATTGGGCACATTCATTTGTGTGTTTGACACAGCACAAAGAGTTCTCTAGAAAAAAATCTTAGAGTATCCTCAGAAACACAGATTGTCCTCTGCCACCAGAAGAGCTGTGTCCAGGGACATGGACAGGGCTCCGACGTCAACAGACATCACTGATTCTCATAATCGGGACAATGCTGCTTCTCCCCAGAGCACCGCTGAGGCCTGTTTACCCAGAGGACGGCACTGAGCATGCTCAGGAGCAGGGGCACCTCCAGAAAGACCAGGAGCTTGAAGTAGATGCTGCTCAGCAGGGGCCTGTGGGGACAAGGTCACAATAAGCTCCCTTCGCAGAAGGTGGTGATGGTGTCCTGCACTGTGTGCCTGTCTCTTTACCCAGGTGTGTGTCCAAGGTGCTCTTTTCAGGGACAAGGACAAGGAACCCTGCCTGATTGACCAGTGTGACTGATAGCCCAAGAAGTAGCCTGGAACTGTGGGTCTGACTCAATCTCTCTGTGGACCTCCACTCCTAAGGCCTCTATCCAGGCAGGCACTGCCTCCTCTACCCAGGCTCCAACTCTCTTCTAACCTGAGTTCTCTTATTTCCTCCTGGTGGCGCTGATTTGTTATTTATTTATTTATTTATTTATTTGTTTGTTTGTTTGTTTGGTGTTTTTTTTTGAGGGGGGGAAGAGTCTCTCTTTTATGTAGGCCAGGCTGTCCTGGAACTCACTATGTAGACCAGGTGGCCTTGAACTAGCAGAGATCCACCTACCTCTATCTTCCATGTACTGGTGTTAAAGGCTTGTGCCACCACAAACCAGTGACTGTATTTATTTTCATTAGTTAATTAATTAATTTACTGGTGTGTGTGTGTGTGTGTGTGTGTGTGTGTGTGTGTGTGTGTGTGTGTGTTCAAGTGTGTGTGTGTGTTCAAGTGTGTGTATCCAGGTGCACATGTGTGTGCATGAATGTGCAGCCCAGATGATAACCTTGGATGCCATTCCTCAAGAATCATCACCTTGCTATGTTTGTTTTGAGAGAGGTCCCACTTAGCAGGTCTGGCTAGAATGGAATTTGCTGTGTATTCCAGGCTGGTCTTAAACTCACAGATACTGGCCTGCCTTTGCCTCCCAAGTGCTGGATTAAAGGCATGAGTCACCACACCTGATCCATCTATCTTGTTATCTGACAGGATCTCACGTTGGCCTGGAGCTTGCCAAGTAGTCTAGGCTGGCTGGCCCGTGAGTCTCAGGGATCCTCCTGTCTCCACCTCCACAGCTCAGGTATTTCAAGTGTATGCCACCATGCCTCACATGTGGGTGCTGAGGCTCAAACTCAGATCCTTTACCAGCATAAACCATCTCTTCAGACTCTGGGTGTGTTTGTGTAGTAACCTCTTGACAGGAAACTAACTCCATCTCAGCAGGTCTGGGTCTGGGTGTCATTGCTGTGTCCCAATCTGTAGATGAGCAGCTGTTGTTCACAAGACACTCCCCTGGTCAGTGTGGGGTTGGAAGATGCAGGAGATGCCCAAGGAGGGAGACCCAATCCCTTCTACCTCCACCTCCCAGCATTACCCCCACCCCAATCCAGAGCCCTCAGGGTTCCTCACCGGGGTTGTAGGCTGGGACCAGGAGTTGTATCCTCTGTGGTCACGCTGGACTGAGTGTGCACTGGTGAGGATGTGGGGGACCCCAGAGTATTTGCTCTGTTCTCGGGGCTAGAGCCTGTGACAGGAGAAAGGATAGAAACACAGACTGTCCCAGTGACCTCCACTCCATCACCTCCCCACTGAAACCTATGCAGCTCTGCTGCACACAGGTCCCTAGGGACATGGTGGACAGCTGTGTGACAGCCTACATGCCCCATGGCCCCACCAAGTCCTGGTCGGGGATTCCCTCCCCAGCCTTTCCCATGGTGCATTGGGGCTGGTTGGCACTTTCAAACTTGAGGTCAGTCTTCCTATAGAAGAGAGTTTAAGTGTCAGTGACAAGACACTTGGTGCCAGGTCCCTTCCGGCCTCAGTGACACCTTTTGCCTCCTTGTCTTCCATCCTTCTGGGGACAGACACCGAGTGGTGAGACTCTGTCTGCCTGGCCCAGTTATTCCCACACTGTCACCCAGACAGGCCACTGAACAGTCTTCCCTGAGGAATGGACAGATGGAAAGACAGATGCTTGAAGGACCCTGTGGAGAGTGGCCTCTACTGAGGGGAACTAGAGACACCAGCAGGATTTGGTTCCATACTCCTCACTATGAACTCACAGAGAGTGTTGGAGGGAAGATTTTATGGGGGGGAATCAAAACTGAGAACCAGAACAGGAAGCTGGGTGTGGGGATGGGAGCCTGTAATCCCAGTGCCAGAGAGGCAGAGTCAGGAAGATCAGTCATTCAAGATGAACCCCAGGTACACAGTGAGTTTGTGGCCAGCCTGGGCTACACAAGACCCTCTCTCAGAAAAGAGAAAACTGGGAATAACAGAGCAGTTCAGCCCCTTCAGCCCCTCCACCACCCGGCCCTTAAAGAGATGCTGCACTAGTTAGGGTTCTGTAACAAGGGAGGCTCCATTAGGGGAGAATGACTGCAGACATGGAGAACATTGGGACCAAAGGAGCTGAGAGACTGTCTTCCATCCAGCTTCACCCTCCGCCTGGGAAGGGGCACTTTTGGGAGAGTCTCTGAGTTTCTTTCTGTAGTAAATGTTTCCTGGGAAAGGGGGATGGAGGGGAACTTGGAGTAGTTGAATGGATTCCTCAGGGATCAAGAACCCCGATACGCAATCTACCCTCCTTTTTGTGTCTCTGGTTCCCGTCAGAAGACCCACAAACACTGTGATGAGGCTGCTCCCTCGGGACCTCCATGGAAGTAAAGTGTCCACTCAGTTTCAGGCCAGGGCGTCCTTTGAAGAGGGGACCAGATACGCTGGGTACTGTTCCCACATGAGATGGGGACAGGACCAAGTGAGACCTGGAAGAGAGGACTTGTCTCCTATGAGGACAGGAAGTCACAAAGAGCCACTGATCTAAGGCATGTCTCTGGGCCTCAGACTGTCATATGGGACACACAGAGAATCTCGAACAGTGGCTGATGAGACAGCTTGGTTGGTAAAGACCTTGCTTGTCAAACCTGATGACCTGAGTTTGAGTCCCAGGAATACTCTGGAGGGGGACCTGAGTGCGAGTTCTCTGACTGACACACACCGGGGCTATCCAACTAACTAACTAACTAACTAACTAACTAACTAACTAACTAACTAAATGTAATAAAAAGAGAGTTTCTAAGAACTCAGGTTCCCCAGTGTGCCTGTGTGTACACGCACACACATGTATGCACATACACTATCACACATACCACACATGCTCTTACAAAGGTACACGTGGACTCACACTCCCTGTGGCCTGAGTCACTGATTCACCAAGCTCACCATGCTATTGTATCTGCCTTCCTTCCTTCATGAGGGAATGACAGGCCTGAACTCAGGGTGCCCTGACATGAAGGGAGCTTACCTGGGACCACGGACACCATAACCTTGAAGGACTCATCGATCCCCAAGGAGGGATGGATCTCTAAGGAGTCATCAATAAGTGGCATGTCCACCCCACACTTGTAGGTGCCTACATCCTCCAGGGTGAGGTTCTCCAAGGTCACTGTGAAGGTGAGGGTGGCTGGATGGTCCCTGATGGACACTCGGCCATTCCCAGCTTCTTTTGAGGCTCTGGTCTTGACAATCTCTTTACATGGTGGTAGCAGTGACACTCTGCACCAGTATTTGTCGTTAGTCTTGTGTTCCTCCTCGTACTGACACCGCACACTCAGGGACTCCCCCACAGTGCCTGTCACCTTGCTGGGGCCACGCAGAGGGACACAGTCTGGAAAACACATGCCCCAATTCTGCACCCTCACAGCTGGATGGTGGTCAGGCCCCCCTTGGTCAGCTCCTAGAGAGCTGTCTGGTCTGGAGGAAACATCGAGAAAGGAGACAGACTTTGTCAGACCCAGGAGTCAGGACTGAGGTGAGCGCCTGTGTTGTCCGGAAGAGGGCGTGGGGAGGGGGCTTGTCCTTGGAGAAAGGAAGGACCCTGGAGGAAACAACACTCGTGTGTGTGTGTGTGTGTGTGTGTGTGTGTGTGAAAGAGAGACAGAGAGACAGAGAGAGAGACAGAGAGAGATAGAGACAGCTGGTGGGGAGTCTTTACCTATGTATATATATGTGCGTATGTTTCTGTGGGTGTGACATATATCTATGCAGGAATCAGTGCTTATGTGCATTTGGTATGCAAATACATGTGTGTACACAGTAGAGATTGTGTACTTTCAGGGCAATGATTGTCACAGCTAACCCTCTCAGCAGGTCCTGACTGTCTCAGTGTGGTAGTCATGACTGTACTGTGCACTGAATCCTAACAGCACCTGTGAGGTGATGCTGGCCACTCCTGCCCACCCCCACTCCTTGTCTTCAATTGGCCCCATCTTCCTCTGCTGGCTGCTCTCTCCCACCTCCTATCCCCCATCATGCCCTCTCACTTACTCCAGAAGTCCCCCTTTCAGAGCTGTAACCCCACACCCCCCCCCATCCCCGTACTCACGTGGGACCTGCAAGAGGAGCAGAGCTGAAGGCAGCCACACTCCCATCACTCTTGGGGTCATTTCTTCAGCTCTGGTGTCTCCTGCCCACACCAAGCCCAAGAGGAGGAGGGGCCGTGTCCTTCTAGAAAGTTCAGTGTTCACATGCCGAGTTCTCTTTTCTGTCCTCTGCTTCCTGGTCCTCTGGGTGGCTCCAGATGAACTGGTACAGGAAGTGCTCTGAAGATGCTCCAGACCTCAGGGGCACTGGTTCCCATCACTCCCAGTGAGGGGACACATCCACGACCATGGATTGTGGGTGCTACCTGTCCCCTAGCCTTCAGCTAAGGGCTTCACAACCTTCCCACTCCTGGCAGAGCCCTGGAAAGTATTTCCTTTTTTTGTTCAGGCTGTTCCACCCTCTGTGACACACCACTTCCTGAGTGGACGTGAGGGCTGTCAGTCTTCTCTTGCTCCTTCCCTGTGAGCAGAGGAACCATCTCCTTCCAAAATTCAGCTTACCCTTCCATAGAGTGCTCTTAGTCCATGGGGTCTCTGGCACTATTTCTGGGTTCACACAGCGGGTCCAGCAAAAACTGTGATCCTGACACCTTAATCAGCATTTATGTTGATGCTGAGTCCCCACAAAGGCACAAACCTGTAGGTCACAGCTCTCTCTCCTCTTCCATCTTATTCTGTTTGTTTGTTTGTGGCAGATCTCTAGCTCAATCTGGCTCTATACAACTAAGGATGACCTAGAATTGATCCTCCTGCTTCTACTTCCTGAATCTACGTTTTTATACGTGTGATCTACCACATGCCATTTATGCTGTGCTCAGGATTGAACCCAGGGCTTCATACATGCTAGACAAGCACTCTACCAACTGAGATATGTGTCAGACCTTGTTTATTTGAGACAGTTTCTCACATTGCAACCCAGGATGTGCTGGAATGCACTGTTTCAAGCTGAACTTGAACTCACAGAAATGCTCCATTCCTTGAGTGCTGAAAGTATGGACATCAGCCACTCTACCTGATGACTCTGTGTTTGTATGTCTCCTGGCCCCGTATCTAGACATGGGCCTGTTGTCAATGTTTTGGGTGGGTGTTAGGTGTTGGGAGGGAGAATGAAGAATAACCTCAGGTCTCTCCTTTCTGATAATCCAGTTCCTAATGCTGGAGGTCCATTTCCCTCTCATGTTGGGGAAGAAGGCAAGAGAATGTTTCTTAGAGCCCAGTGATGCACCTAACCTTAGAGGCATCTGTACCTCTCTGATATATGTCAGTATCTAGAGGCTGTGGTGACATTTACAGGGGACACTGGTACTTGCTCTTCATTGGCCTGGGGCTCTCCTCTGGGCAATCATATGTATTCCACTGATTTCCAATCCCTATTAACAGATAATGCAGAAATTTTCTCATTGTATCACTTTCTCCAGTTCTTGCCTCTCACATATACATCTTCAGGGTGTCTGTCTGAATTTTGTCTGTGTCCTTTGTTTCTTTATGCTCAACTCAATATCAGCTCAACAAGAGCAAATAATCTGCTTTGTGTATTCACTTGGGGACTCCAATGCCATAGTCTCTGCTTGGTGTCTTAGTCAGTACTCTACTGCTGTGAAGAGACACCATGACCACAACTCATATTAGAGAAAGCTTTTCATTGGAGGCTTGTTTACAGTTTCAGAGGCTTAGTCCATTATTATCACGGCAGAGAGCATGGTGGCTGGCATGGGAGACAAGTTTGTGGAGACAAAACTGAGGGCTACATCCTCATTTTCAGAGAGAGAGAGAGAGAGAGAGAGAGAGAGAGAGAGAGAGAGAGAGAGAGAGAGAGACCTCTGCTGAGCAGTGGCTAATGGAGATCAGGGAATGTGTTCTGATTCAGGTCTGCCTCTGACCTGTGGTACCTCCTCTGCACAGGGCTTGATTCATAGCACAGCAAATGACTTATAACTGAGCTTAATGAGCACATCAGTTCTTAAACTCTGGCCCAGACTTGAGGAGTGTGGTAACAGGGAGTCACGTTCAAGGTGGAGTCACAAAACCTCCTCTGTGGCAAATCAGTGTACCCAACACAACACAAAGCCACATTCCCTTTGTGCTGAACTTGAGTGAGGACTAGGGGCTCAGAAGTATCGGTGACGGCCACGGCTGAGCCGCCAGCTGTACCTCATGTTGATGTTGAGTCACTCTACAAGAGCTGCGTTAGTTAGATAAGCTTGGACAGATGAGGAACCTGCACACACAAGAAAATCTTAGCGTTATATAGAAATTTGTAAACACAGTGTTGTAGCAGGAGTTCTATGTAGGATCTGGATTCCTTCCTGTGGCTCTCTTGTGGCCACTTAGAAGCCCCAAGACCACTTCAAGGAGCCTGGTGTCTCAGGGACCTCCACGGGCTGGAGAGATGGCTCAGAGGTAAAGTGCTCGCTCTGCACAGGTGATGACTAGAGTTCAGATCCTCAGAAGCCACGTCAAGCCGGACGCCGTAACACGCACCTGTACTCTCAGGGGTCACTGTAACACGTGTGCACCTGTACTCTCAGGGGTCACCGTAACATGCACCTGTACTCTCAGGGGTCACTGTAACACGCACCTGTACTCTCAGGGGTCACTGTAACACGCACCTGTACTCTCAGGGGTCACTGTAACATGTGTGCATCTGTACTCTCAGGGGTCACTGTGACACGCACCTGTACTCTCAGGGTTCACCGGAACATGCACCTGTACTCTCAGGGCTCCTATGTAGCTGAAGTTTTCCTGTGTCCTACCCAGTCCGCAGCCGCTCAGACCCAAGTAAACACACAGAGACTTATATTAATTAAAACTGCTCAGCCATTAGCTCAGGCTCTCTACTGAGTATCTCTTACACTTAAACTCAGTCCATTTCTGTTCATCTATATGTCGCCACATTTTCCATGGATTTTCCTGTGTCCCATTACATGCTGCTCCCTGGAGAGAGGCCTGGTGTCTCCTGACTCAGTCTTTCTCTTCCTAGAATTCTCCTTATCTGCTTATCCCACCTATACTTCCTGCCTGGCTACTGGCCAATCAACATTTTATTAAATCAGTGTACAAAAGCATTATCCCACAGCACTGGTACATATGTGTTTTTGGGTACAGTGTATGGCTATGTGTGAGAAAGTGTGTATGTGTACGTGTGTGTCTGTGTATGCAACAAAGCCATTGTTCATATTGTATTGTTACAACCTTGGCCATCACAGTCACCCCTGTTAACGCACCCTGACTCTGTTGGAGAAACAGGACCATTGGCAAGGTATGTGTGTGGTATATTCTGCTGTGTAAAGAGTGGTGTACATATATACATCTGATGTGTGTGGTATATATACATCATGTGTGTAGCATGTGTAGCATGTGTATGGTGCATAGCTGTGTGAGATATGGAATATACACATATAATATTTGCAATATATATGTATCATGTGTAGTGTGTGCACTATGCCCTGCAGGTATGTATCACAAGTACACTGTGCTGCATACATGTGTGTGGCATGTGTAGCAATGTCAGGAAGGTTCACATGTCTCTGGTATGATATACACATAACAATGCATGCATGTGTGTGATAAGCCATGTCCCCTCTTGATCCTGCACAGGTTACAGTTGCAGTGATGGATGTGCCTTGGGGAGACAGGCCTTTCCTGGGTAGCTACCGTCCAGTGATTGGCCAGGCTACTTCCATGAGCTCCGAAAGTGTGGCTCAGGAGCTGGCCCTGTCTCTGGGAGCCTTGCTCTCCTCACAGAGTGCAGGAGTGAGGGTTGCTCCACCTGCTTCTCTTGGAAGGCAGAGAAGAGTTGGAAGGAGGAGTCATAGCTTTGGCTGCTCCCAGAAATGGATTCTCACCATCCCCATTCTGAACTGCCTGTGGACACAGCTTGGATTCATTGGCTTCTACCACAGTTGTTGCCAAAGCAAAACCGTCAACTCTAGACTGCCACAACCACACAAGTTTATTTCTTGTCTTAGGAAAAATGAGTCAGCTCACCTTTCCCTCCCGCCCAGACTGAAGATGTCTCCAGTCCACTGGAGGTGGCAGGAAACCACATGGTGGCCCTAACACTCTCAGCTCTGAGGGTCCCTGTGTCACATAAACTCACATCATCATGGGGACAGGGAAATGACATGCTTCTCTGCAGGAAATCACAGCTGTTGGGGAGACAGCTCTGCTCTGTGAGTCCTGGTGACTCAGTGAGCCCAAGTGACCTTGGGGACCCCAGTAACAGCAGGGAGGTTAGGCTGAACTCAAGTGTATTTATGGAAAAGGTCTGCAGGTCCTTTGCTGTGGGAGGTTAGCAACATGGCCATCAAGCTGGCTCCTGGAGAAAGCATGTCTACCAGACAGATCCTGGAGCATTGGACCACAGGAGTAGGATGGACTCTGGCTAGTGGGGGTGACAGATTCTACATGAGGTTGAGGGGACACTGTCCAAGTTAACTCAGTCATAGCTATTGGGGGCCATAGAGGTTTCCTAGTGAGATCTGAGCTTGCTTTACCCAGCAGGACTGCTTAAGAGGATGAATGGACCACAGGCCTGGGTACCAGGTGTTTGGAAGGGTCTACACTTGGTTGTATTGAGCAAGGGGATGGTCTTTTGCCCCTCCCCTTGGCATTGTTATAAAAAGGCCTTTTGAATCAAGTTCTGGGCTAGTAGATAAGGATCCAGGCCCTCCTAAGGCTATCCTGTGTTTCTGTCTTTCTCTCTTCCGTCTATATTTGTATCTAAATCTCTTATCCCTCACTCCTCAAGAGTACCCAGGTAGAGGTGGGGGCACACAGTCATCAACATCATGGATCTTTCTCTTATTTCTTTGGACATTCTGACATCTTTCCAAAGAGATAGCTTTGATTTTAACTGTAACAGGTATTTGATTGTTGTTTTTAATTAAATTGATAAAGTTTTGATGCAGTTTCTCTGTATCCCAGGCTGGTTTGCAACCCTTGATCCCTCTGTCTCAGCCTTCCAAGTGCTGGGGTTATTGTAAGGGTTCTGTATATGAGCAGCTCCTCTGGCGCCTTATTACATCATCAGCGGGTGACTGCATCCCAGCCTGAAAGCCGGACGTGTGCCCCACGCTCTCTCTTTGCACTCTCTTCATGCTCTCTTGCGCGGTCTTTCTGTGCGTCTCTCTCTGCTCTGGGTCTCTGTCTCTCTCTTTCTCTGCGTCTCTCTCTCTGCTCTTGGTCTCTCTCTGTCTCTCTCTGTCTCTGCATCTCTCACTCTCTCTGTCCTACCCTCTCTTCTCTCTATAAAGCCTATGCTAACTCTGGTAACCACGGCTCATGACTCTTCCGCTCGTGACTCTTCCGCCACCGACCTACCAGCGCCATATACCCTTTCAGTTATAGGTATATGCTGCTACAGATGGCTATCATTTTTATCTTTGATTCTCTCAGACAAGTTCTTACTATGTAATTCAGATAGACTGAAACACTCTAGTAGGTCAGGCTGGCCTTGTACTCATGGCCATCCTCCTGTTTCAACCTCCTGAGTGTGGGATTAGATACACGTGCTACCATATTTGGCTAGTTTGTTTACTTCACAAGAATTAATTTCTGGGGCTGGGAAGACAGGTAAAGTGCTCAAAAGTATTTGAGGCCCTGGCCAATCAGCCATGAGAGACCCTAAGTCTCAAAAAAAAAAAAACCACCAAAGTGGACAGTACCCAAGGAACAACACCCAGGCTCTCCACACTCAGGTGCACTCATGCACACTCTCACACACCCACCCTTGCCCACATGTGCATTCACATATGATGTGCATATGCCCCCAACCCATATGAACATACACTAGCACACAACATTTCTACTTTCTAGACTGTCCTTCACCACTACTACCGCATTTACTTAAGGACATCGCCTTGAAGGATTTATAAATGTTACTGAGTCAAAAGTACTGGTCAGAGGAGGGATCTTTGGTATAGACATCAGAAACAAGGAAGTTAGCCTTCAGAAAGGAGTAAGTCAGCAAATTTGTGTGAAAGAGCTGGTTTTGACAGGAAAGATGGAGCCATGGAGATTTGGCAAAACAAAGGAGAATGGCAGAAGAAAACTTGTTTTGCTTCCTCCCCTTCCTCCTCCTCCTCTTCTTCTCCTCCTTCCCACCCTTCCTTGGTGTCATCTTCCTAGTCTCCCAGAGACAGGGTCTAGCTATGTATCCCTGGCTGACCTGAAATCAGCTGTAGTCTGTCTGGTCTCAAACTTGGCCCAAGGTCAGGATCACCCTGCTAGGTTCTTCTGCATTCTTCAATTTTAAGAAAGAGGGTGTTGACCTGGTCAGAACGTCTAGGAGGAATTTGAAAACAAAGAAGGAGGTCATGAAGGTCAAGGCTAGGCTAACAAATCACCTCAAGCTGCTCGGCTGTTGCTGGCTGCTGCTGGCTGCTGCTGGCTGCTGCTCAGTTTGGAATCTGATAAGGCATGAAGCCAAACACTCAGGTTGGACCAAGATCACATTAAAACACTGCTGCCTGGAAGGAGACCCCAGAAATCAGGATCTTGGAACGGGGTAAAGCAGGTGGTGACTGACGCTCTGGGAAGGAGATTTGAGGAATCTGGTGGCTTGGTGCAACTGTTCCCCTCTTCCCAGAGTGAGCAGAAAACAGAACTGGAAGCAGAGCATTCGTGTCCACCAACCCGTGATCTCTTAAAATCAGGGCTCACACTTGCTGTGTTCTTAGTGCCTTGCCCATGGTAGCTATAGTAAATAAAACTATACATTTGACAGCAACCTTCAGAGTCTAGAGAAATTAGTGACTTACTTTTCTGTCCCTCAAAAGTCTGGTGAGGTACAGAGTCCACACGGCCAGGGTTCCAGGCTTCTGCTGTCTTCCTGTTCTGTGAACCCTCAAGAATTGACTTCATCTGCACATTGAAGATGGTCATTAGTGCAAGAGTCACGTTAGTGCAAGGGTAGAAAGCTGATGGTGAGAGCATTCCCCGGGGGTGGGGCCGATTCACACTCCCCCACACCTGTCTGAACAACAGAGCCACAGAAGCACATAGAGTTGCTATGGAGAAAAGAGGAAATGGAGAAGACAAAGGATGGGCTTCTCTTGTCTCTTGCCAAACTCCACCCTACAGTGAGAAGCAAGAAATCTCACTGAGAAGAGGAACAACCTACAGATAGTGAAAAGGAAGTGTGTGTGTAGACACATCATGTGCTCATCACTGCAGCTCCACAGTCACAGACACATGCAATGCACCTAGCAGGCCATCTCTGGACCTGTGGCACCCTCCCTGTGTCTCTTCAGGGTCTTCCATTGTGATCCTCTCCAAGGAGCAGGATGGAGGCAGGTTCCTCTCAGGGAGTGGAGGCAGGTGCTGCAAGCAAATGCCTACTGTGTGCTGCTTGACAGACTGAATAAACAGCAAAGGGAAGAAGGAAGTGGAGCACCAACATCATGTCTCTGCTTTCTACTCGTGGATGCAGCATCGTCAGCCACCTCACACCTACCACTGTGTGTTTTCCATCATGGCGGCTAAATTCCCCAAAATCATGAGCTCAAATAACCCTTCCCTCCTCAAGCTGCTTTTGGCTCGTTATTTGATCACAGTAAAGAGAAAAACAGCTAACACAAGGCCTTTGAGAAGGAAGGGAAGAAGAGAAAGGTAACAACAGACAGAGAGATTGGTGACAGTGTCTAGTAAGTTTTTGTCAACTTGATACACACTAGAGACTCCTTGAAGAAAGAACCTCTGTTGAGCATCAGACTGGACCAGTGAGCTCGTCTATAGGGATGTTTTCTTGATTGCTAATTGATATGGAAGGGTTCAGCATGTTGTGCCCAGATTGTGACCCCCAGAGAGACCACCAAGGACGAGCATACCAGAATGCAAAAGCAAGGTTTATTTCCATTACAAGTCGCCACAACAGGGAACTCATCTCAAGCACTCACTGGCCGCAGCACAGTGAGGCAGGGAGGAGTTACTCTATCTTGGGGAAGATAGTTTTTATAAGCAAAACCCACAAAATTTCTTAGAGGGGAGGGGGTTAGTACAGGTCCATCCTTGATTGGTCCAGTTTTTCCCAGGCCTGCACTTTGTCTTATTTCAGCTTATCTGTTTGCCCTGTTAGGAGATTTACAACCCATCTCCGGGGTCTGGTCATGTTATCTCCAGAGAGGGGCATCTCGTGGTTAATTGGTCACCACCAGACATCCTGACTTTGTTCTTTTGAAAACACCTGACTTCACCCTCTCCAGGAAGGAGGAACTGACTCAGTTCTGTTTATTTTTAAGGTATCTCTTCCCTCAGCTCTTTTGAGTTTCTGGGGAAACTGTGTCTGGGTCTTTGGTTGGGGTCTTTCACAGTACACCATGTGTGATGCCACCCCTGGGCAGATGGTCCTGAGTTCTATAAGAAAGCAGGCTGGGCAAGCCATGTAGAGCAAGCCGGTAAGCAGCGTTCCCTGTGGCCTCTGCTTCAGTTCCTGCCTCCAGGTTCCTGCTGAGTTCTTGCATGCTTCCTTCAAAATGTACTTGACATGGAAGACAAATAAAGCCTTTCCTCCCAGCAAGTTGGTCTTGGTCAGTGTTTTATCACAGCAACAAAGATCAGACTAGAACAGATAGGTAGATGGATGGATAGATCAGAGAGACAGACAGATGTGTTTACCTCACCACTTGACTGACACACAGGGTGGCTTTTTCCATTTGTAAGGGACATAGACTCTCACCCTCATGATCCAGCTTCTGCCTCTATCTTGATCCCCTTTTCTCAATCATCCTCTTTTATATTTATTTATTTTCTCTGTACAGGGTTAGTTCTCTGTGTAGCCCTGGCTGTCCTGGAACTCGCTCTGCAGACCAGACTGGCTTCAAATTACCTGATAGCCACCTGCCCCTGACTCCCAAGTGTGGAGATTAAAGGCATGAACCACCACCACTGGCCGCTCAAGATCCTCTTTATTGGTCACTATATTCAGCCTCATAAAAGGCAGATCCAGATGGAGAAAAACCTCTAAACAGACTACAGTGTGTTTAAAAATGTACAAAGGCTTGGGAGAGAAAAGAAAAGGGATCTAGACATTCACACACACACACACACACACACACACACACACACACACACACACACACAGATATATCCAAAAAAGAAACCATTAGTCTCAAAATATCTTACATTGGTATGGATTTTTGTTTATGGACACAAATTTAAAGTTAATTTTGTTATACTGTATTTATGTTGCTACTCTTGTGGGGAATTGTGTTTATACAGCTCATTTAATAATGCAATGTATAATTATGAAATACAGATTAATAGCTACCTATTACAATCAGTCTTATAGGTCACGTTAGGTATGTTTTCAAGGTCATACACAGATATATTTAGATAGACAGATGGCCCTTGAACACTTCAAAGACCTACAGAATATAGCATTTAATGTGTTTAATAGCCTAAAATTTTTCATAACACTGAGACATTTCTGTTCCTGGCAGCACTAATCTACTTCAGAGAAGATGATGGGCATCGAAGAAACTCCATAAGGAGTTTGCATTCTTCGTGTCAAAAGCTAACCACTGGGTAAAGAAAATCCCCTTGCCTCAATTGCTAACAGTATACTGTCCAAACTGGATCGGCAGGACACACGGAAAAGCAACTGACAAACTTTGCCAAGAGAAAATTCTCTGCTTCTGAAAAATGTCTGTCAGATATGTATATATATATTCTAAAAAACCAAAAAAAGGACATTTACAAGTAAGGATGGGCCCATTCATCTAGTGTGAAATGTTTTCTAGCACCTGCCCATAGACTGCTTGTTGGAATTGTACTCACCCTCCCTCCTTCCCTTCCTTCCTTCCTTCCTCCCTTTCTTCCTTCCTTCATTCCTTCCTTCATTCTTTCCTTCCTTCCTTCCTTTTTTCTTTTTTTGAGACAATGACTCTGTATAGCCCTGTATTCCTGAGAGAGTCTGTAGATCAGGCTGGCCTCAAGCTCAGAGATCCACCTGCCTCTGCCCCCCAAGTTCTGGGATTAAAGGCATGCACCACCACCACACAGCCCACTTCTTTCTAATGTACCCCTCTCCTACTTACATGATATCTGTGCGTGCATGCGTGTGTGTGTGTGTGTGTGTGTGTGTGTGTGTGTGTGTGTGTACATACCACTGAGTTTAATTAGGATTGATTGTCTGAGCATGGGTAGAACACAGGCAACTTACCATCTACTACTCCATTGAAGCAATGAAAAGCCTTCTCTCAACCAAGGCAGACTTACTAGAGGTTCAAACATGTCATCCAGGAGAAGATGCTCACGTGGGTCTCTTCCCACACAAAGAGGGGAGAACATCCATGTTAGGTGTGAGTTTGGGCTGTGGGTGTCAGAGCCCAGCCTGATAAGAAGATGGCGTGTTGTGGGGTGCATAACTCAGCATGGCTGAGGCTGGAGAGCTGGGAATAGCTAGTTTCAGGCTGAGCCTTTGCCTTTGAACCTTTCAGTTTCCTCTGGAATTTAACCAGGTCTTTCTCATTTTGAAGCTTGTATTTGGATGGTGTGTAGTGCTTAAACATTGAACAGATGCTTCTGAAGGAACAGAAGAACAGCTGAGTGACCTGGTGTGGAGACTGGCCCTAGAAGAATCAAGAGTGTAGCTAGTTTTTCTCTGTCCCACCAGCCAGCTCCCGAATAATGACACAGAGACTTCTTTTAATTATGAACGCTTGACCTGTAACTTAGGCTTGTTTCTAACTAAGTTCTTATAACTTAGATTAAGCCATTTTGATTAATCTCCATCCCACCACGTGGCTTGAAGCTGTCAGCTCTCTTCCTGTATGTCCTGCTTCCTCTGCATCTGGCTGGCAACTCCCCTTCTTCTCAGAATTCTCTCTGCCCTGAAAATCCTGCCTAGCTATTGGTCATTCGGCTCTTTATTAAAGCAATCTGTGTGACACATCTTCAAATTGTACAAAAAGATTATTCTACAACACAAGGGGCTGATGTGGACTCATGTTTCCTGAGAGGAAAGCAGCCTTCACCAGTTAACTCCCCTGTGGCAGGATTTTCCTTTTTGACCACCAACCAGCTCTGAAATCATGACATGGAGATTTATTATTAGATATATGAATGGTCAATCTTAGCTTAGGGTTGTTTCTGGGGAGGTGGTTTACATGGGTTCAGGGAGGTCCCATTCATGCCACTTTAAGTGTCTGGCTAGTTCTTATGAATTAATCTATTTCTCATCATCTACATTTTGCCTCGGGGCGTTTTACCTTCCTTTCTTTCTGTATGTCTTACTTTCCTGCTGTCTCTGTCTGGCTAGGGGCTGATCGTCTGGCTTCTGGTGTGTCCCTCTCTTTCTCCCTCATTCTCTTTGTTCCACTCTTCTCTCGAACCTGGATTTCTCCTTCTACTTATTCTCTCTGCCTGTCAGTGCCCATATCCCTCTCCTGCCTAGCTACTGACCGTTCATCTTTTAATTAGATCTACCAGGTGCTTTATTTAGACAGGTAAGGAGGAACAGCCACACATCTTTACATAATTAAACAAATCCACCATAAACAAATGTAACACATTTTTACACAGTTAAAGTAATATTCTGCAACATAAACAAATGTAACACATTTTTACAAAGTTACAATAATATTCCACAACACTCCTCATTTGGTCTCACTGAGCCGAATATCTGGACTTCAGGGACCAAGACTGAGCTACACCTTGGGAACCCTGACATGTGGCACAGAGACTCATTCAACTGCTCCATCTGTGTTTGGAACAGGTTTAGTCACTGAGTTGTGTTGACAAAAAGGCAGGGTGTTTTCTCTCTGTAAGCTACAGACATCCAAAATGACTTTTATGCCTCTTGGTGAAGCCGCATTTCCCAGATATTTGGTAAAACACCTGTATGGTGGCCCAGAGACTTTGTCCTCCAGGGAACTGGGGCCCTAAAAAGAAACATGACTTATCTTGTATTTTCTCCTCCACTGGAGGCCATCAGAGGAAGAAAGGCCTAGGGAGGCACTGTAGGATGTTCTGAGAGGGAGAACCTGAGTGGGTTCCAGATTCTCAGCTGTCCTGCTATAAGAGGTGTCTGACCCCACAGTACCCCAGAGTCATGGTACTGCTGACCACATCATTTCCTCATAGAAATATTCTTTTCTAGGCTGGGGAGATGGCTCAGCTGGTAAAGAGCTTGCCTTTCTTGTAAGTAAAAGCACATGAGTGTGATCACCACAACCTATGGGTTTTTTATTTTGTTTTGGTGTGTGTGTGTGTGTGTGTGTGTGTGTGTGTGTGTGTGTGTGTGTGTGTGTCTGTGTGTGTCTGTGTGTGTGTCTGTGTGTGTGTGTGTGTGTGTGTGTGTGTGTGTGTGTGTGTGTGTGTAAAGCTGGGGAAGTTTTGTGTGCTTGTAATGCCCAGCTAGGAGGTAGAGTCAGGTAGGTCCCTGGATTTCTCCACCAGCTAGCCTGGTCTACTTAAGCAAAGGTCAGAGCAATGAGAAATCCTGTCTCAGACAATAGTACAATGACACCTGAATTTGTCCTCTACATACACATATGCACCCACAGTGTATAAACACACACACACACACACACACACACACACACACACACACACACACACACCCAGGTGAGAGGTATCATTTTCTTTCATTTGGAAAGTATTTCTGTCTTTACTGGGCATCAGAACTGTGTACTTTCACCAGGCCAACTTCATCTCCCCCAGAGCACCTCTGAGGCCTGTTCACCCAGAGGACTGCACTGAGCATGCTCAGGAGCAGGGGCACCTCCAGAAAGACCAGGAGCTTGAAGTAGATGCTGCTCAGCAGGGACCTGCAGGAAATGAAGGAGACAGAAAGTAAGCTGTCACCGGGCATAGAGGTCTCAGTCTTCTTCGTGTCCATGTCCTAGACTTCAGTGAGCAGATAAGGACAACCTAGATGCATGCAGGATGGCCTCCCTGCGAGTGCATGGCTGGTCATGCTGCCTACAGGCTAAGCTCCAGCTGGGGAAGCTTTGCCTGATTCCCACCTCTCTTCTTGAACCAATCCCTTCTCTAGTTGGCTGGTCGTACAAGCCCACAAAGATTTCAACTTGTGGTTTGACTCAAAGTCAGAGAGTCAGAGTTGATGTTGCTCTCCAAGGCTGCATAATAGGGTGCAAAGGCATGGTCACCAGTGTCCTATACTTCAAGGCCTAATCACAAGATGCTTTGCCGTGGGGCATGGGTTACCAGGTATTTGGAAGGGTCTACACTTGGCTCTACCTTGTGCTTTGATCTTGAAAGGGGGAGGTCTTTTGCCCCTCCCCTTGCTAGTGTATAAAAAGCCTGTTAGAAACAACTCGAGGCTGCTGGGTATTGACCCAGAGCCCTCCTAAACCTATCCTGTGTTTCTTTTTTCTATGTCTACTTCTATATTTCCTGTCTAACATTTCTCAAATTCCTCACTTCCTCCTTCAAGGGACCCTTCAATAGGTCACGTTGGAACCCCAACCCTGGTCTCCTGACAGCTGGTCTCCCAGAAGTCCTCCTCATCTAGTCTGCATTCCAGTCAGGCTGCAGGTTTCCCTGATCCGTGACCTTTTGACCTTGGCTTCTGCTACACTGTTCACCCAGATTGACCTGCCCAACCTCATCACTGCCTGTGTGGGAGCTGATATACATCCTAGGAGGCTTGGGAACACTAAATTAAGAAATGGTTGGTGGCTGCTTCTGCTCTGTCACATGAATTGATACTCATGTTGTAATATTTTTTTCTTGTGTTCATTTATTTTACCCCATGGACCATGAGGCCCTGAACAGTATTGATCCCCTATTCCCACCTCTTTGTCATCCTCATCCCCTGCCCAGGACTCCCTCTCCTTTCTTGACCATCCTTGATTTCTCCTTTGGCCCAACACAAGGCCATCCTCAGCTCATGGAAAGGATCTACAACTGCAGATACTCTGTGAGTCACAGGTTGGCATGAACATGTTCCTGGAAGTTGGAAGAGCTGCCTCTTGTCAGACCATTCATCAGATGTCCTGACATGTTTCCCAGGACTGACCTATGTGCATGCTCTACATTCTCTTGAACTCTATACATTTCCGGAGCCTCATATGCTCTGTCTCTCCATAACTAACACTCCATCCACTTACAAAACAAATTAACAAAACACTTCCAAAGCAATAGGAGACAGACAAAATTTAAAAAGTTTAAAAAACAAGGTTGAAATATTTTGAGACATGTTTGTATACCTTAAGATTTTTTTAGCAGAAAGAACACAATAGAGGTGGGAGCGTGGGCAGGACTAGGTAAGACCTGAGGGACAATTCTCAGCGAGGGTTAGTGAGGTGACCTCTACCTTGGCTACAGGGGGATGTGGGGGCTAGTGTTTTAGCTGTGTCCATGACCTGGAGACGTGACCCCAACAGGCTGGGAAGGAATTATTCCAAAGCAGCTATAAGGTGCTGGGAACTCCTCTGGACACCTTCAAGAGTGACGAGCATAATACTGGTACAGCATAGCCCTCAGTTTCCCATGTCCTCCTCTGCACTGTGTAGACCCCACACTGGCTGCTGGCGCAGAGTTGCATTGGAACAAGATTTGTTTATGAAGCTGGAGCAGGAGATGATGGGAGAAGACTCTCTTCTAACTCAGAGGAGACCCAACCATGGCCCTTTGTCCTGTCCTCTGGGGGACACATGGGGAGACAACAAAGTCCAGGCTCAATCTCTTTTGCCACTTAGATAAAGATGTTGCCTTCCTGTAGCTGAAGCTTAGAAGGGAAGTCTTGGTATACTACAAGGTAAAAGGTTGGGGAGCCCGCCTCAAACTTTGACATGAGAATGTAGCAGCCCCAGTGTCCCTCTAAGATAGTTACTAAGTTTACCAAATAAAATTACAAGATGGCCAGGCCAATTTGGTATTCAGATAAGTGACTTTTTCAAAATTATAAATATAGCCATGTAATGCTTGGGATGTACATAGGCTAGAAATGAAAGGTTTTTGTGTATCCTGGGAGTCCTGGGCATCTATGTTTTATCCAGGGGAGAGGCCACAGGGACAGCCCAGTGATGAAAGAGCTCCCGGGGTCCAGCTCTGCTTACCAGGTGTGGGTGTTGGTTTGAGTCCCTCCATAGTTGCCAGTGTTCTCCATGGTTGGTGGTGTGGATGTCAGAACTGGGGCCATGACTGACATTATTTTAGTTGAAGTTTCTGGGGCTAAAGACACAAACAGAACATGGTTCACTTCTCCTGTGGACAGTCCAGCTCTAGATATGGCCTAATCTTTTCCCACTAATAATTAAGGAATTTGCTCTCCAGTCACCATCCAAACCTTTGCATTAATTCTTTTCTAAAGAAAGTGATGTGGGAGCAAAGCAGCCCCCTTTAAAACCTGCTTCCTCCATGGCTCACTCATTACTGCCTGGTGTGCAATATGCAGAAAAACTTCAGTTTCACACTTTTTGTCTATTTTGAAAAATATTTATTTATATGTCTATGGGTGTTTGCTTGCCCATATCTATGGCCACCACATGTATGGGCATCATGTGCCTGTAGTTCCATGGAGGCCAGAAGAGGCCATCAGATCCCTGGAACTGGAGTTGAAGATGGTTGTGAGCTGCTATATGGGTGCTGAGATCCAAATCCAGTCCTCTGGAGAAGCAGCCCATGCTCTTAATCACTGAGCCATCTCTTCAGACCTAATTTTGTCTATTTTCTTTACTGTAGTTGTTTAAACAGACATAAATCTGATCCTTATTACTCTATCTTATGCAGAAACAGAGTTTCTGTGGCTTCATCTATTTTGTGTTAAAGGGGTGGTGTTTGGGTGTCAGGATGGGAGTTTAGTTCAGTGGTAAAGTGCTTGGCTAGCACACCTGAGGTTCTGAGTTGAGTCCCCAGATCTGCACAATTGAGAATATGCAAGACTCACATGTGGGGGCAGGAAGTCAAGGCCTCCCCACCTCACCTTTATCCCAGTAGAAAACAGGACCAGCAGAGTTGGCTATGTTTATATTTCCCAGTAAGACTTTTACAGTAATGAGTTCAGGGTCCTTGATTCCTCACCCCAGCCAGAATCTTCTGGAATTTTTTCTTACCTGGGTCAATGTTCACATTAACTTTAAAATGGGGATCAGAGCCAGTTCTCTGAATCGCACACCAGTAAATGCCAGCATCGCTTATCCTCAGGTCCTCCATGATCACTGTGACGATGAAGTTTGTCTGGTCGTCCCTGATGGACACACGGTTCTTCCTTACCAACTGCTTTGATGCATCGGTTTGAATGAGGATCTCACATGTTCTCAAATCAGCTCCTCGGCACCAGAACTTCTTGTAATCCTTCCAGGATGAGTCATAATGGAACTGCACAGTCAAGGAGCCCTGCTCCTGACCCCTCATCGTGTCTGGCCCTGTGATTGGATCCGGAGCAGTGGAGCAGCCTGGAAAACACAAAACCACGGACCACTGATATCCCACTCCAAGAATGGGACACAATATTCTGTGCTGAAAAGACTTCACAACTTATCATCCATTAAGAGCAACCCCTTTCTCAAGACAGATCATCGCCATTCTATTGGTCAAAGACTCAAGAAAAAAATGCTGACGGGCACAGTTACAGGTCTCAGAAGGAAAGTGGTGACACTGAGCAATCATGACTTCTGTCATCCACACCTCTTCACTCCCCAGTAGACAATAAAAGTACATTTCAAAGGATTCTTTTGCAACCATTTTTGTGTTACCCTGGAGCAGAGGACGTGTCAGAAGGGATTGTGCACAGGACGCGATCCTGAGTTCATTGCAGTACCCGTGACCCTCAGAAGGTCCATCTGAAGACATCACATTCTGTGGCCATGCAGAGGCCACTTGAGGGAGTCCAGCAGTCTCTAGGGGTTGAGTGTGTGTGTATGTGTGGCGGGGCTTACATAGGAAGCACAAAACAAACATTTAAAAACAAGCATTTACAAACAGTAAAGGAAGCCCTTCAGGGTATCAGATTCAACAATAACAACAACAATAACACCAAAGTGTGTTCCTAATGGCACAGGTAAGAAAACAAAAATTACTAAATGTAATTATTTCAAACTAAAATGACTCAAACAACGAATGGAAAGACAAATTCCAGCCTGGGAGAGCATCTTTTCAGACTGTGCATCTGACAAGAGGTTAATTTCCAGACTATATGAGCAGGAATTCTACTCAAGAGTCCACCAGCAATCATCATCCAGTAGAAAATTATCTACTGAGGCACTGTGGAGAAGGCTTATTCAGCGAGACACCTGCTGTGTTAGCCTAAGCATGAAGAACCTGAGTGTGTGTTCCCAGCAACCATGTAAATGTCAGGAGTGTTGGTGTGTCCCTGTAGCCCAGCACAGAGGTGGACAGTAGAGACAGGGGATCCTGGAAGCCTTGGCCATCCAAGGCAGCCTCAGTGTCAGTATGGAACCCTGTCTCAAAACATAAAGGTAGGAGTAGGACATGGTGGTGCATGCTTTAATGCCAGCACTCAGGCGGCTGAGGCAGGCAGATTTCTGTGAGTTCAAGGCCAGCCTGGTTTATATAAAGATTTGCAGGCCATCTGGAGCTACATAGTGAGACCATGTGCCAAAAATAAAATAAAATAAAGTGTGCATGCTCACTTGTTCACATCCATGCCCATTGAGCAGATGAACAGCACACAGTTCTCAAAGGAGGTGTAAATGGTCAATAAATATATGGAGAAATGCTCCATTTCACTAATTGTCAGGGAGATTGATGCAAATCAGAATCACAGAGAGCCATCATCATCCCCCAGTCAGAATGGATATTACCAAAAAGACAAAATATAACAACTGTAGATGTGCGTGTGGGACAGTGGAAGTCTCACACGCTGTGGGTTGGAATGTAAATTCAACATCTGTGGGAAACAGTACAGAAGTTCCTCAGAAAAGCATAGAACTGCCACATAATTCAGCAGCTACACTCAGGGATAAAGCCTGTGTTGGTGAGCTTTTTGTCAACTTGACACCACCTGGGGGTATGCAAAGAAAGAATATCAGTTGAGAAGATGCCTCCATCAGGTGGGCCTGTAGGCAAGTCTGGGGGACATTTTCTTGATGTGGAGAGGTCTAGTCCACTGTGGGTGGTGTTACCCCTGGGTAGTGAAAGAGAGCAGGCTGAACAAGCCTTGGGGAGCAAGCCAGTAAGCAGCACTCCTCCAGGATCTCTGCCTCAGTTCCTGCCTCCAGATTCCTGCCCATCTTGAGCTCCAGCTCTGGATTCTCTCCATGATAGACTGTGATCCGGACATATAAGTAAACAAGCCTTCTCCTCCCTGAGTTCTTCTTGGCCATGGCCTGTATCACAGTGCCAGAAAGCAAGCCCAGAGCCCAGAGAATTAGTGAGTTACTGCAGTGATCCTTTTCCTGTGTTTCCTGCAGCAGATTCATAACAGCCATGGCACAGGATCAGCCTCGATGTGGATGCATGGATAATAAAGTATGATACATAAATGCAGTGGAATAGCATTGTAAAAGGATTGAATTCCATCATTTGTAGCCAGGGATGGGATTGGAGGAAGTCAAATAAGTCAGACCCAGAAAGATGCTATCACACACGTGTTTCTGTTTATATGTGGAAGCTTAAAAGTTATTCTCTGGGTCTAGGGGATGGGGAGATGGACAGGTCAGTGAAATGTTTGCTGCAGAATCAGGAAGACCTGAGTCTGGATCCCCAGAACACATGGGTAAAGCCAGGTGAGCTGGGGTGTGTCTGTAGCCCTAAGAGCTGGGGAGTCAGAGACAGGAGGATCCCTGAGGATCACTGGCCACATAGATGAGTCAGTGCGGTCCAGATTTAGTGGAAGACCCTGTCTCAACAAACAAGATGGAGAGTGATAAAGGTAACCAAGGCTAATCTTTGGCTTCCACATATATGTGTGCACCCACATATATGTACCTGAGCACACACATACACACACCAAACATTTACATGTGAATATACTTCATGACCCATATTTTTTTCAAATTAACAAAAGTTCACTTCAAAAAAGTAGTAAATAGAATAGTAGTTATCAGCCGGGGAAGGGTGCCAGATGTAGACAGAGAGAGAGCTTAGGATGTAGGGGTGTTGTTTGGTGAGAGTGACAACGTCTAGTTGTACAACACAGCTGAGAAATATGGTTGACAATTCAATATTTCAAATTACTTCATAGAGAAGATTTCAAATGCCTCTAGTACAAAGAAATGACAGACTCCTGTGGTGGATGGTGAGCTACCCGGATCTGACCATCACATCCTATATATACACATGCAAATATGACATTGTATCTATCAGTTTCTTTTTTCTTTTGAGACAGGTCTCCCTGTGTAGACCAGACTGGCCTTGAACTCACAGAGGTCCACCTATCTCTGTCTTCTGAGTGCTGGCATTAAAGGCATGCACTACCACACCCCTATAAGTATGTTTAATTACTGTGTCAATTAAAAATCGGAATGGAACTGGAAATGGAGGTTCTCACTAGAAATCCCAACACTCGGAAGGTGGAGGCCAGAGGATCACAAGTTCAGGCTCCTCCTAGACTGCAGTGAGATCCTATCTCAAGGTACCAAATATAAAGCTATAAACATATTTTAAAAGAATTAGTTTGTTTATTCACTCATCCTCCCTTGTGGAGCATCAGTATTGAGAAACACATTCTGGAAGGTTTTTAAAATTTTGTTTTTGTTTTTGTTTTCCTGCAGCACCCATAGGATCCACCAGATGCCAACAACTTGCCTTTTATTTAGGGAGTAAGCAGCTGGTGAATGAATTAGCCCTTCCTGTTTTTTCTAACCCAGGGCAGACTCTGTGTCCTGTGCCACCACTGACTCTGTGATGTCTTAAAGCCCCAGCTACTTACCTGGGAGGAAGAGGAGCAGAGCAGGGAACAGCCACATGGTCCTGTCTCCTCTCCTGGCTGTGGTGGTGACAGATGCCAACACCTTGCAAGAACTCGAAGCTCAACCTGAATTTCCTTTAGGTATCTCTTGTTTACGTCCTAGACAACTTCTCAGTTGCACTTGATTCGAGAAAGAGGATGTCAGTATTTGAGACCAAGTCATCATATGTGTGATGCAGCTGGATAAAGAGGGAACTTCCTCTGCTGCATAGATGCAAGGCTGTATCTGAACTTGAAAGATGGGTGGGACTCCTAAAGGGAGAGGCAGACAGATAGGACAGTAGAGACAAATGCAAATACGGAATACAGCAAACCCTTCTGCTCACCAGGGACACGTGTGAGTGCAGGGGATCATGGGAGAGGAGAGCATGTAACAGGCTTTTCTGTGGACTGTCAACTCCCAAATAATGACACAGAGACTTTTTATTAGTTATGAAAGCTTGGCCTTAGCTTAGGCTTGTTCCCAACTAGTTCTTAATACTTAAATTAACTTGTTTATATTAATCTACATTCTGCACATGTCTTGTTCTGTCTCATCAGAACCCTAGTCTGACTTCCTCCACATCCCACTGGGGAATCTCCTGCACCTCTATTCTTTCCCAGAGTTCCTATCTCTGCCCAGAAGTCCCGCCCGTCCTCTCCTGCCTAGTTTGGCCATTCATCTCTTTATTAAACCAAGCAGTTAGCATGGAGAGTGATACATCTCCACACATCATGCAAAAAGATTATCCCAATATTTCCCCCTTTTAAAAATCCAATAAAGTGCTTTTTCTCTAACATCAATAAACTATATGCAATGAAAACAACAATCAGGTAAGAATTACATTCCCAGTGTCCAGTCCATTTGTAGTTAGCAACTTTGGAGAAAGTACTCTATCATCTGTCCTATCTTGATGAGTTCAAAGTTTTGTACCTAAATCACTTTCTGTCATAACTTGTATTACTAGGGAAAAATATACTTTTAGACCTAGAAACACCTAAGCACATTTTCAAGCATACAGTACCTGTTCGTAGGTTTTCTCTGTCTGGCCTTGGCTTTCTGCTTGCCTGCAGCATTTCTCTGACAGCGTGAGCTAAGCCTTAAAGGGCCCCTGTCCTGACAGACTGGACAGGGAGGGGTGGTTGTATTCAACAAGCACCCACAAGCCTGCCAGGGAGACTCTGGTTTTGAAACTTCTTTTCAGCTTTCTCAGGAGGGTGACTGCAATAGCAAGAAAGCATAAGGCAGCCCAGGCTAGCCCAGTGGTGAGGGGCACTGCTGAAGGCTCAGCCTGGGGCAGCACTGCTATGAACTCAGAGCAGCGATTTCTCTGGTCAGGGACACCTGTCACAATGGCTACTGGGGCCACAGGTGTTCGCTCAGAGAATGGGAGTATTTGGGTTTGAGGCAAGGTCTCATGTCGCTCAATCTGCCTTGATCCTCCTTCCTCCAGCACCAAAGTCCCGGGATTTCAGGCGTTCACCACCATGCTCAGTGTTATGAGGGGCTGAGGACTGAACCCAAGGTTTCACGAATGCCAGCAAGCACTCTACCCACTGAGCTGAATCCACAACCCCTTGTTTTGTTTTTATAAGACAGAACTTTGCTGTGTAACACACATTGTCTTTAAACTCCCTCCAGTGTGAGCCTCCCAAGTCCAAGTGGTGGGAATCTGCAGTTGGTTTAAATCCAGAGGAGCAGTTGTGTCAACAAATATAGGTACAGAGTATGTTTGGTATCAAATTCATGGGAGGAACATTTAAGCATATATATATATATATATATATGCTTAGGATGGTTAATCTTCATTGCCCACTTGCCTGGCTTTGAAATCACCAAGGAGAATACCCTGTAGGTGCATCTCTGAGGGTGTGTACAGGGAAGTTTGAAGGGGATGTTGGCAGTTCTAAAAACTGTAGGCTGAAGTCCATATTCTGTCATACTCATAGACTGGCACTACCCCAATTGTCATCAGAGAGCCATTATCCAGTAACTGGTGGAAACAGATGCTGAGACCCACAGCCGAGCCTTGGTCCCAGCTTGGGGAATCCTGCTGAAGAGAGGGAGGAAGGATTGTACCAGCCAGGGGGGACAAGGACATCACAAGGGAATCCCCAGAAATAGCTAACTTGGGCTCATAGGAGCTCACAGAGTCTGGACCAACAGCCAGGGAGCCTGGGACTCCTGCATGGGACTAACCTAAGCTTTCTACATATATGTAACAGTCATGTAGCTTGGTCTATTTGTGTGACTCATAGCAGTGGGAGTAGGGCCTATCCCTATGCTTTGGCTGGCTTTTGCGAAATTATTTCTCATACTTGGTTGCCTTGCCCATCCTTAATACAAGGAGAGGCTTTGTTGCTATCTACGGGAGGCCTGCCCTTTCTGAACAGAAACAGAGGAGGAATGGATGGGGGTGGGGGATAGAACCGAGGTATGTGTGGGGGGGGAGAGGATAGAGGGGGAACTGTGTTCAGGATGTAAAATATAAAATTTTTTTTTAAAAGATGCTGATTGAAGGAAAGATTAACAACACACTGCCATCTACTGGCCTAAGCCACTTCAGAACATCTACCTTAAGGTTTAAGCCTGACAGGTAATAGGAGTTTTAAAGAATCTGCAGCCAGGACATTAAACTGCTACAGAAAAGGGTCTTAATCTAGGTCAGTCTCATTGCTTATTAGAAGGACATCAAGATCTGAAGGTGTGACACTACACACGCCCAGTCACAAGGCAGGCAGAAGAGCTGAATCTGCCCTGCTAACTGGTCCCCACCTCATTCCTGAAGGCCCATCTGTGCACCTTAGGTCAGTCCCCATGCCTGCTGGGAGCACCATATGGCCCCAGGCATACATCCACAGCTCTGAAGTCTCCATCCTCTGGTCAGAGGTCACAGACTAGCATCTGAGGTTCTGCGTGGACTAACAGACACGTTCTGGTTTGCCCACAATAATTTAAGGAAAATTTGTTGTCTGTGTAAGTTCCACTGTGGTTGCTCTGTCCTTGGTCCAGAACCCATCCCTTGGTAGATCCATCTCTCCCTGGGCTCTAGGTAATGTCACACATTCTTCACTGAAATGTGTTAGACTGGCTTTTGACAAAAACAAAAACAATGCTGGGAAGATGGAGAGTTCAAGAAACACTGTTGAAATATTTGGATATCCACACCCTAGAAAACTAACTGCTCCCCCCAATGCAGAACAAGAAATGTCAAAATAAATCAAAATTCGTGAGCTCAAATGTTAAATAAAAAGCTACAAAACTCAGGCCTCTGGGCTGCCAGAAAGTGGTGAGCTCCAGTGTAGGGAGAGACCCTCTCTCAAGGGAATAAGGTGGAGAGTGATAGAGCGAGACAACTCACATCTTCCTATGACCTCTGCACGCTAATGTGAGTACACACACACACACACACACACACACACACACACACACACACACAAGGTGGGGTGGAGCAAATAGATATAGTAAAGAAATGCTTTACAACTCTATAAAAGTTGCAACAAATCAAAGGCAATTATTGATTTTTTTATAGACAATACCAAACACAACATTTTAAATAAAATTTAAAGAACTGTGTGTAATCAAAGTTTTAAATATGTGGTCCAGGGAGATGGGTAAAGTGCTTGTCATGTAATCATGGGAACCTGAGCTTATAAAACCTTCATAAAACCTGGCACAGTGGCACACATCTGTAACTTCAGCACTGAAAGTGGGGGAAGCAGAGCCAGGGGACTCCCAACACCGACTTTTCAGAAACTTTCCTTCTTTTTTAAAGATTTCCTTTATTTTACATGTATGAGTGTTCTGTCTGCCCATATGTATGTATAAGTGCAGTGCCCACAGAGGCCAGAAGGATGCAATGGATCCTTTGAGCTGGGTTCTGAGACAACAGTGTGGGTACTAAGAACTGAACTTAGTTCCTCTGCTGTAGTGGGTAGCCATTCCAGCTTTGATCTGGAAGTTCCAACCCCCACTGAGACTTCGGCAACTGTCACACCTACAAGGCGGGGCCAAGGGCGGGGCCAAGGGAGGCACCTGGAGACCTGAGATCTGGATGGGCTGCACTCTCACTCTGTTCCGGGACCCTGGACGGTGGAGGTGGGCCAAGCAGAGCTCCAGAGAACACTGCTGGACTGCGATACACCTTCCCTAGACCCCGCGACCTATCTATCCCATAATTTGTAAGTTACGCCATTAAATACATCTCCTTTTAACTACGTGGAGTGGCCTTAATAATTTCACCAATATCTGGCACTCACGTGGGGCAAATCCCAAAGGCCTGGGTGGCTCCCGCCCTCAGCCTCCTCCCCGGCTAGCGGGTACCTAAACCCGCCTGCAGAGTTCCATATAACCAGGGAACCCCTACACGGTTCCATTCCCGAAAAAGGGAGCAGCTAGTCTGGTCTCAGTTCCCTAGCTTAGCCCAGAGACCAGCAAAAGAGGCCCTCCCCGGCTTCCTGAGTGCCGGCGCCAGCTCCCGCCATCTTGACTCCAGCGAGCTGCAGTCAGTCAAGATACCAGCAGGCCCTGCTTTGTAGCTGTACCAACACCACCTGCTGGCTGAAAAGTGCTACTACACCCCCCAAAACCATGAAAGGTAAGCATATCGTTTCAAGTAAAAGTACTTGATAATTTGACACCTTAAAATTGACTAACAAATTTTGAGTAATTCTTGTAATGTGGCCGACAACATTACCTCACAAGAATTTGAAAACCTTTTTGCCTGTATGATGAATGACATCTTCCTGGAAATATACGACCTTCCTAAGGCATATCTGGCCTGTACCATTTTGGCATTCATTGTAATAATTCACACAGTGTTCAAACACTGGTTTAATAACAAGAACAAAGATGAGTCATTATTGGGACTGATACAGGCTTTAAGCGAGAGCAATGAAAGATTACAGAAAAAGATTCTCTGGAATCTGCTAACCAGGATTTACAGGCTTTAAAAGATAGCAATGAAAACTTACAGAAAAAGATTCTTTCTGTGAAATCTGCTGATCAGGATTTACAAAACAGGCTTGTACCGAAAATTGATCTTATTGATAATAAATGTGAATATTTAATGGACAGAACACTAACTCTCCAGACACTATATAAGGAAGAAAGATTATCATTAATTGATAAGATAAGGTCCATGGAATCATGTGTTTCTGAGGAACATAAAAACTTCTATGATTCCATGAGAAATCTGGAGTCCCTTGCCAGAGAGGAGGTTTACTCCCTAGAACAGACCCTAGGTGCTCATTTGCAAGCCTTAGAAGAAACTCTCAGTAAACATGACAAGGGACCTAATAATCAGAAGGGCAAGACCATAGAGATTGTAACATCTCCAAATGGCTCTCATACAATGGCTTATCCTGTTATCATCCATGAGAAGCCAGCGGATGACACACACCCCGAGCCATATAATACATATACAT